CGAGGGAGCTCTAACCTCTCTGCTCCCTCACGTGATGTTTTCTGATGCCGCGGAAGCCGGAATATGACATCATATTCCGGCTCCCGGCACCAGTAGACAGCCCTCGAGGGACCAGAGCAGTGAGGTTAGAGCTCCCTTGCCACCCGCTGAAGTGAAGCCCCACTGCACCCCAGAGACAGATCCGCACCAGCTCTCCAGGTAGGGAGGCTGGGTGGACATTTAATATTAATAATTTGTGTGTATGTAAGTGTGTGTGTGTGTCTGTAAGTGTATGTGTGTGTCTGTAAGTGTGTGTGTCTGTAAGTATACGTGTGTGTGTGTGTATCTGTAAGTGTATGTGTGTGTGTCTGTAAGTGTATGTGTGAGTGTGTGTATGTTTGTGTGTATGTGTTTCTCTGTGAGTGTGTGTGTATGTGTGTGTTTGTCTGTAAGTGTGTGTGTTTGTGTGTGTGTGTTTGTCTGTGAGCAGAGTATTTGTAAAAAGGAGAAAGAAGGCGCAGAGTACTTGTAGAATAGGAGAAAGAAGGAGTAGAGTACTTGTAAAAAAGGAGAAAGAATGAAAATAAAAAGGAAAAGGAGAGAATTGTTGTTGGCTATTAATAGTAAGTGGGCTGCCTAGCTCAGCCTTCCTACTGGGCATTGCTATAAGGAAGGTTAAAAAATAGAAAAAAGGAAGAAAAAAAAAAAGGCGGGGAGGGGAATTGAGGAGGGAGAGGAGGGGAGCTGATGCACACATGAGAAATCATATTATGAGCAACAGAGAAATTGTCTGAATATCACCGAAAGAGGAGACCTTCGTTTGTTCCTTACGAAAATCTAACCAGATATCAAATATTTAGTCTCGCAGCATCAACCTCAAGGATCTCATTAATCACTAGTAAAGGTTATTTAAATTTACTTTATTGTTTTCTCATTAAACTTTATAAAGTTAAAAACATTATAAACATGCATGACGTAGAAATAAAAAGATAAATGTACGTACATTTATTTTTTTTAAAACACCCTCCTTTCTAAAAAATATTCTGCACTTGCGCGAAAACAGGTGGGCGGTAAGGACATTTTTCCATCAAGAAAGATGCATTAGTGGGCGGTAGGTAGAAAAAGGATGACTACAACTGCTCTATGGTCATAGCTGAATTGATATCGGGGCTAAAGGAGCTTCAGGACCATACTCATGGGATAAGCCCACTGAATTATAGAAAAAAAAAATTCCACTTCTCACCTGATTTGGATCTAAAACTTTGTACAGAGAGAGAATAGAGATTGAAAACTTAGAATGGATCCAGAGGGAACCAAACTTTAATGAACTAGATTGCTATAATTACAATACTTTTTCCAACTGCACTGTGAATGTTTACATGGTGTGTTCATTAAAAAAAAATGGCAACATTTCATTCTTTGTGTGTTATTAGTTTAAGCAGACTGTGATTGTCTATTGTTGTGATTTAGATGATGATCAGATCACATTTTATGACCAATTTGTGCAGAAATCCATATCATTCCAAAGGGTTCACATACTTTTTCTTGCAACTGTATCAGTTGTAAAATGTGAAATCCTGTGGAAATTCTGGAGCGGTAAAGTATTTCCTGTACTGACTGATATTACAAGTAATGAAAATTGTGTTCCTATTCAATTAACACTACTGCCGTTAAACTGAAAACACTATTCAAAGGTAGAAATGTTTGTGACCTATTGTGTACCTATTTGGTAAGAATAATGCATAATTTGGCCCACTATTATATTACCTTCCACCCAACCACAAACATGGAGGACAATGGGATGTCCATGTATCAGGCCCCTACTCATGTCTCCCCTCTGCATGTATGGGATAACAGATACACCAATCCTTCCCATTAAATAATGGGGTGTAATTATTATTATTTTTTTGTTTGCTACGTATTAGGTCAGAAATGATGAGCTTAATAAGTGTTTATATCCAACACCCAAAAATCTACCTTTAGCTACTGGAACATATACACTCTCAGTGACAGACACACACACTCTAAGATAGGCACACATACACACTCACTAACACACACACACACACACACTAACACACTCACTAACAGACACGCACACTAACACAATTGTGACGGCACCCTGGGTATGAGAAGGGGTTAACGCCGCCAAGTTTGTTCTTTCCCCCAAGTGTGAAGTTGGCTACCGAAAACTCCTAAACACTGAACAGGAATCTTAATGAAATATGCTCCCAAACACGAGACGAGGCTCTGTGTTGAGGGTCAAGCAGGATCTGTTTAATGGTGGCCACAGATCGGCCTTTTATGCAGGTCCTCCAAAGGACACTCCCATATGGACCTTGCAGAGGACGGAGACATAGTTACAGTATACAATCATATACAGTTACAATATGTAAACACAATATGTAAACACTCCCACTCAAACAGTACAATTCCTCCTCTCTATCCTGGAGATAATTGGGTTAAGTGCCTGAAGAAACTCAATTACCTCCAGGTATAGAGAATATTCCCATTTTACAATATTTCCTATTCCACAGAACTGGACCCCCACGTTTGACATATTCCCAGATAGCTTGGATCTTAGCGCTCAATATATCCGAACAGCGCTCAGATCTCATGTATACAGTCGAACCATTGAGCCAAACTGGAACGAAGAGGTGGATGGTTGGTGATCCCAGCGGTATTTGTGGGAAACAGTGGCCGAAATTAGTTCCATGTGGTTGACGATGAAACATCGCTGGACGTTCGACTGTCCAAGATACGATCGACGACCACTCAGATGACCTGTTCGGGAGTTGGAAGGGGCTGCCGTTAACCACAGTGTTAACAAGGTCAAAAAGGTTAACAAGAAGCACACTTCCCTGCTGGGTGGCCCGCCATTTGGTAGTTAGTTCGTCTTTTAGGGAATGCAATCAGGGAACCACACGAACAACCAGGGACTGGCGAACAAGCAGACAAAACAGTCTTAAGTAATAATCCAAAGGCAGGGAGGTCTGCCACATGACACATTACACTATTGAAAAAATCCTATGGAGTGCTCTATCATTTACCTTGCAGATTTTTGCACTTAGAAGCACAAGGTATTATCACTTTATCTTTGTTGTTATGGTGAGTGCCAGAAACTGCATCTGTTTATATTATTATTACTGGTATTTATATAGTGCCAGCATATTCCGTAGCACTTTACAATATTATAAAAGGAGAAGATTTAACAGTAAGTGAGACAATTGAGGTAGCAATAAAACAAGGTGGAGTGAAGCAGAGCTGGAGGAGAGAATAAAGTGCTGCCCTTTAGGAGAGAGCAAGAGACAGGTACGTGAGGTAGAGGTTACTCTGGGAGGCCAATACGCTTTCCTACAGACATGGGTTTTGAGGCGCTTTTTAAATGATTGAAGACTAGGTGAGAGTCTGATGGTCATAGGCAGGCTATTCCAAAGGAAAGGTGCCACCCGCAAGAAGTCCTGCAAGCGTGATATATATATATATATATATATATATATATATATATATAGATATCTCACTCTAGGATTTTCCAAATGGTTAAAATGTAACTTTTATTTTAACAAAATCGACTTAAGAGTTATTCCAGATCTTTCACCAGGAAAAGCCAATATAGCTCAATGTAGCGGGTTTGGTGCAAGAATCTTTGAGTAATGTCCTCTAGTTTTTTGTCAAACTGATTAAAAGTGGTTTGACAAAAACTGGGGCTTTCCCAGCCCTCAGAGACAGACTCCTACAGTTTAAGTCCATAAGTGAAAATGTGATGTGCATAACAAAAATGCATGGGAGTAAACATGTGTGAATGAAGTGTATAATATATGCAAAAGTGGACTTTATTATTCTTCTTATGTGTGGTGTAATTGGAATGCAACTGTATTCTTTTTCTTCTTTTATAGTGACTATATGACGCTTTAGTGTTTAGTAAAATTACTTTTCCATAGACCCAATCATTTTTCCATAACTTTCCCATCTCTTCTCCATGTTTGTTACCAAACTATTTACTGTTCTCTTCCCCCCACCTCGATTTTCTGTGTCTAGTCACTGCCCCTTCCTTCTTTTAATTTACTTTCCGTTTTTCTTCTTTTCTTCTTACTTTCTTTTGTTTTATCACCTCTCTTCAATGCTCTCTCCCATTATTTTCTATGAATTCCCTTCTCTTCTCTCATTTATTCTAAATACCTAGATTTAACTCCAGATACCATCCCTAACATTAACGAATAAATTACATTATTATTTTTTTTCATAGTGCAATATAATCTTTGTTATAATATACTGTCTCTTTTTTTTTTTTTTTAGTTCATGTATATTAAAAATTCTTAAGCAATCCATTGCTACCTTTCCCAATCCGCTTTCTGTCTGTATCATTGCACTTTCAGTCAGATTGTAAATTTTTTGACCCAATGCTCCTTGTCAGTGCTAGATTGCATCTTACGAGCAGAGACCTCTATTCCTTTTGTATTGGCTTGTCTAAACTGTGCTGTCTATGTTTCTTGATTGTATAGAGTATATATTTTATTAATATTTGTGGCACCTAATAAATATTAAAAACAATAATTATGTGCTCTTTCTGCCTGCAGCTTTTCCTTTTGGGTGAATTTAAAAGTAAACAGACATTTGCAAAATAATGAGGTTTTGGTCAGATAACTGACAGTCTTACTGAAAGTACATTAAGACACCTGTCAGACATTAGACTGGCAGACATGATATGATTAATTTGTTATGTTATTTTATTGTATTATTTTTCTCTTTCAGTATCTTACATTGTATACTATTTTATTGCAGATGGACAGTTTCTTGTCTGTCACCAGGTTCTCCAGAAAAGTCTTCATGCATATATTCTAGATGTTGCAACAAGGACGCATATAGTGTAGGTTCATTAGCCTCTTTAATCAGCTGGGGTCTTCAGACTCGATACATTATTTTGCCATTGATGTATGCGGTTATCCCATCTCCAGTACATTGTGGATATCTGTATATCAATTCAGTAGAAGTCAAACTCTTGCTGGATAAGACATTGCCAGCTAAAAGTTTGCATTTGCTGTAAAGTGACAAAAAAGTGATAATAAGATGATTGTGTTTATCTTCAAATATGCTTTTTTTCCCTAAAGGTTTAAACAATACAATGATAAAGTTAAAGTGCAAAGTACAAAGACCCCTGATGGTGACATTGTTGCTGGCATCCGATGATGGGGGGTGGGCGGCAGGCAAACATGAGTTATATTTACCTGAAACTTTCCCTTGCGGGTGCCACCACCTTCTTCTGCTGTGCTTTACTGCCAGGAGCCAACCTCACTGCTGTAGTCTTGTGCATGTGCAAGAGTACAGCATTGAGGTCTATGGAGGATCCCGCAAGACTTTAGGAAGCAACCTAAGGTGTAGTTTCTTGATGACCGGAAGTAGGGGAGCACACTGCCAGTCACTTCATGTATTTTGGCCGAGTGGACTGCAGTAGAGATTGTTCTGTATCTTCTACCAGTCTGACAGGAAGTGCTTACTATGAGCATTGAACTGCTTTCTGTCAGACCGGGTAAAGGATACAGAAGATTCTATACAGCGGTCCTCTTGGCCACGCTAGATAAAGGTAAGCAGGAGGCGGAAAGAGACTACAAAGGGATTGGAAGGATGGACCAAGACACACAGAGGGGCGGGGGGAACAAAGACACACAGTGGTTGTATAAAGAGACACACAGAGGGGCTGGTTGTATAAAGAGACACAGAGGGGCTGTGGAAGGGGACTATAACACACAGAGGTGCTGGGGAAAGGGGACAGAGAGACATTCAAAGGGGCTGGGGAAAGAGACAGGGACACACAGATATAAAAAATAGTTCAGCACTCCACTTACTGGTGTTAAATGCCCGGTGCTTGTCAGCATTCATAGATACACAATGTAGTAGAGATAGCACTCCAGGGTCTTCCAAGATGTAAGATAAAACTTAACTTTTATTGCTCAAATACAAGGATCGACGTTTCAGTTTGATATAAAAACTCATCAGGATGAAAGTTTTTATATCAAACTGAAACGTCGATCCTTGTATTTGAGCAATAAAAGTTAGATTTTATCTTACATCTTGGAAGACCCTGGAGTGCTATCTGTACTACATTGTATGTATGTATGTATGTATGTATATATATATATATATATATATATACACATATATATATATGGGTAAAAAAACATTTATAAAAAACAAATAAAAACGCTAACTTTGGCCAGCCTTTGTGACTAAGAGGCTACTACAAAAGACAGGAAATACCCCATTTGTAATACCATGAGTTATCTACATTTGAAAATGGTATGCCATGATGGGGTTATTTCACATTACTGGGCTACCATATGGTCTCAAAAGGCAACACAGACCCAGCAAACCAATCTGGCAAACTAAATTGGGCAAGCCCTATATTGACCCTGTAACTTTCCAAAACAGCATAAAACCTGTACATGTGGGGGGGTATTGTTATACTCGGGAGACTTCGCTGAACACAAATATGTTTACAACAGTAAAACTTATCACGACAATGAAATCACCAGTAAAAGTGCAGCTAACTTTGGCAAGCATTTGTGGCTAAATGGCTACTACAAAAGACTGGATGTACCCCATTTTGAATACCGTGGGTTGTCTACTTTTACAAATGGTATGCCATGATGGGGTTAATTTTCATTCCTAGGCTGCTATACGGTCTCAAAGGCAACATAGGTCCAGCAAACAATCTAGCAAATTTCAATGTGCAAACATGGAAAAGGGGAAAGCCCTACATTTGACCCCTGTAAGTTTACAAAAACCCATAAAACCTGTACATTGGGGCACTGTTGTACTCGGGAGATGTTGCTGAACACATATTGGGGTGTTGTTTGTCAGTAACACATAACAGAAACTGAAATACAATATGGGAGAAAAATAGCACAAAAAATTACTACCCAAAGGTTTGACAAAGACTGGAGGTAGAATTAGTGCATCGAAAGTATTAAAATATCACCATTTGAAATACCCTAGGGTGTCTACTTTTCAAAAATATATTGTTTGATGGGGGTAAATTACATTGTCCGGCTTCAAAAATTTCCCAAATAGGACATGGGTGCATAATGACTGTCTGTGAAAATTCCACGTTGGAAAACTGGAATGCGCACCCTCCAAATAAGATCTTTTAGCCCGCAGAGAACCCGACACACCTATACATGGGTAGTATCACTGTACTCAGGAGATGTTGCTGAACACATATTGGGGTCTTCTTTGGCAGTAACCCTTAAAGTTCTCCGTACATGTATTCTTAAATTGCTATGTGTGTCAAAAGAATCACCAATTATTATAATTTTTTTAAATTTGGCACAGATTGGTGGTAAAATGGTTGCATGAAAAGAGTCAAACTACCCCAAGTTTAATACCTTTAGTTGTCTTCTTTTAAAAAATATATACATTTGAAGGGATATTCAGGGATTCCTGACAGATTTCAGTGTTACAATGTAACCTGCGTTAATTTTGGAAAGAAAATGATTTGGAAATAGCAACTTATAGCCCTATAACGTTCCAAAGAACATGTTGTAACGGATTACCTGGCACCCGACTGGGTACCTCCATTGATGGATGCTCCTAGTACTTCCCGAGGGCTCCAAGTACTCCGCCAGACACCATAACCACCGCAGACCTCCAGAACCGCCGCAGCTTGGTTGGGGTCTCGCCGTCTCCTACCCACCCAGGACATATGACAAGGCTACAGGCTCCAGTGGGTAAACCTTTCCTTCAAGAATGTAACGCAGGAACAAGCTCTTAAAAGAGCTTAGTAGTGATTATAGCAAGGAAGAGCATAGCAATCCTTTGTAGCAGATTCCCCCAATAAGAGACAGGACTCTAAATTGAGGGTGAAATAGAACTGAAGTTTAATGACATACTCTGCCTTTATGCAATTCTCCCATGCAAGGGAGACACCCACAGACAATCCGTAACCATCCAATCGCTAACTGGTTACGTCCCACACATACCCTCCCGTTAGCCTGAGAGGTAACACAATTAACCGTACAGTTTAAACACACATTTTTACCCAATTTCTATAACTTTAAAACTATACATCACAGTTGCGTAAAATTTTCTGAATCAGCATACATAGGAAACAAACATATGCAAAAATCATTTGAATCCGTTCAGCCGTTCGGGAGTTAGCTGGAAGTCATATTTTAATGCCCAAAACAGTTCCAGAGATTTGAGCTGTGCGGCCGGTCTATTTCCCATGTTAAAGTCAGTTCAAACAGACGAACGACAACGGTTCGTGCAAAAGTCAATGTTGAAGTGCCATTCGAATTGTCGAACGGCATTCGAATCCAGTCGATTGAGATAGTTCCAGGGAAGGTAAAACTTCAGCAGTATTCGTGCCATCGAGTATCCGATTTCAGTTCCAGGAACTCGACGGCAAAACACCGCTGAACGCGTTCACATGAATGAAAATGGCTGCATCCGAAGTGCCAATTTAAAAGTACAGATCCTTTCCATAGGGTTTAAAGGGCCAGAAGCAGCACAAGAAAATCCATTATGCCCAAATGATGTCTTTAAAGGGCAATACATCCCAGGGGCCATAGTCACAGAGCAGGAGCCGGGCAAGCAGGCCCCTCCAAAAACTCATGGCAAACTCCCTTAACTGGGTGAGTTTGCCACACATGTTAACATTGGGCATTTCTAAACTCAGGACAAAATTTAGAAACTATTTAGCATGAGTGTTTTTTTGGCGGTTGTAGATGTGTAACAGATTTTGGGGGTCAAAGTTCGAAAAAGTGCGTTTTTTTTTTTACATCTTTCCACCACATTTTATAAAAAATTTTAATAGTAAATTATATGATATGATGAAATTAATGGTATCTTTAGAGAAATATGTGTGGGTACAGTTAATTAGTAAGAGGAAAATTACAGCGAAACACAAACACAGCAGAAAAATAAAAAGAGCCCTGGTCCCAAACGGTAAGAAAATTGAAAAACAGTCTGGTCACAAAGGGGTTAAGAATGTTGCCCAAGAGGGGCGGGGCCTGACAGCCAAGATGGCCTGGACGCACATGCAAAGAGCTTCGGCAGTAACGGGCACAATCTAAGCCCTAACAGGGACTTGCTAAGCAGAATACAACATATCAGACCCAGGGGGCTGACCTGCATTCAAAGCGGCACAGAACGGTACCCGACTCTTGAAGCCCGACAGCGGCAACCAGAGCCCAGCAGTGCAGCCTGCTATGCAGCGAAACACGCAGGGGAGCCGCGGGGGAGACGGCTGCTCTCTCGTGGCCACACTATGTCACAATCTAAGCATGGGTCCCCCCCCCTCCCTTTGGACCAGCGGGGGTTATCCCGGTCCCCACCAACCTAGGGTAAACGACACAACAAGCCACGGCTATACCCTACAGCCTGACCAACATGGCCAGTAAGCCGCATAAGATGGCGCCCACATACCAGAGGCAGAAGCAGAACCAATACACCAGGGCAGCCAGAGCAATAACCCGGTGTAGCATTACACCGAGTAACTGGACATGGTTTTCCAAAGGTTCTGGGAACGTCTGGAGCAATGCTGCAGACAGAAGCAGTCTGATCCTATGGAGGAGGTGAGGAGAGAGGACGAGCAGAGCTGGGGGAGACCTCAATCGGATGAACCCCACAAAGCGACTGACACTGTCTACCCCAGACACTCTCCTAGGCTGAGGGCCACTCGGAGAAAGCCTCTGCGACACCGACCACACCGCCGGAAAGCCGACCGTTGCTGGCGATGACAGAACATCAGAGCTTTCCAGGGCGCCAGACAGAGGGAAGACCCGGCCTCAACAACGAGACACTGAGTCTGTGGACCTCAGGTGCTGGTCTACACACCAGAACGGGGTTGGGGAGCACCCTCCTTATACCTGCAACTCACCGTCCTCCTGCGCACTCTGTCAGTTCGAGGTACAGGGGATTCGGCTGACTGCGTGTTTGTTAGCCCGTAGTCCCTTCAAATAACGCTCCCAGCCAAGAGCTCTCCAGGACTCAACCTGAACTGTCCAAGCAAATATTCACTAATAGGCTTCCACTGAGCAAACATGTTCACTTTGCTGTCTTTGTATGTAGTATTCTTTTGATTAGCTCTGTAGGGTTGGTAGGCAACCTAGCATGTTTATTACTGCGATACTCACACTTCACTGCATACCTACACCAGGATATTGTGTATTAAATAGTTACTCAGTATACCAGTAGGTTAAATTGTACTTAACATAGAAACATAGAAACATAGAATGTGACGGCAGATAAGAACCATTCGGCCCATCTAGTCTGCCCAATTTTCTAAAAACTTTCATTAGTCCCTAGCCTTATCTTATAGTTAGGATAGCCTTATGCCTATCCCACGCATGCTTAAACTCCTTTACTGTGTTAACCTCTACCACTTCAGCTGGAAGGCTATTCCATGCATCCACTACCCTCTCAGTAAAGTAATACTTCCTGATATTATTTTTAAACCTTTGTCCCTCTAATTTAAGACTATGTCCTCTTGTTGTGGTAGTTTTTCTTCTTTTAAATATAGTCTCCTCCTTTACTGTGTTGATTCCCTTTATATATTTAAATGTTTCTATCATATCCCCCCTGTCTCGTCTTTCCTCCAAGCTATACATGTTAAGATCCTTTAACCTTTCCTGGTAAGTTTTATCCCGCAATCCATGAACCAGTTTAGTAGCCCTTCTCTGAACCCTCTCTAAGGTATCAATATCCTTCTGAAGATACGGTCTCCAGTACTGTGTACAATACTCCAAGTGAGGTCTCACCAGTGTTCTGTACAATGGCATGAGCACTTCCCTCTTTCTACTGCTAATGCCTCTCCCTATACAACCAAGCATTCTGCTAGCATTTCCTGCTGCTCTATTACATTGTCTGCCTACCTTTAAGTCATCAGAAATAATCACCCCTAAATCCCTTTCCTCATATGTTGAGGTTAGGACTCTATCAAATATTCTGTACTCTGCCCTTGGGTTTTTACGTCCAAGATGCATTATCTTGCACTTATCCACATTAAATGTCAGTTGCCACAATTCTGACCATTTTCTAGTTTACCTAAATCATTTGTCATTTGGCTTATCCCTCCTGGAACATCAACCCTGTTACATATCTTAGTATCATCAGCAAAAAGACATACCTTACCATCAAGACCTTGATTGCTAACTAGCCTACTTAATTGCTAACTAGCCTCAGAGGTTCACTCACCCCCTGTCTCTGTCACATTATATACCGTACTCACCTATAAGCATTTTCACTGAGAGAGAGTACATGTCTCATCTGCTTGCCATCTAACTGATGACCATAGTTTACATGTCTAAAGCCCTACCTAGCCTAACTTTGATACAGCAAGCATACACTTTTATGTAGACTGCAAGATATTGACTACTCTAGGCTTAACCAGCATGTTTTACGTTTTTTATGTTTCCACACAGTTAAGGTGCAGCAGTTGGGCATGTCTTTAACCCCTTAAGGACTAAACTTCTGGAATAAAAAGGGGATATTGACATGTCACACATGTCATGTGTCCTTAAGGGGTTAAATATTTAATTATTGCATAATCTAACCGCACTAGCTTGTTTTAACATATAGCATACTGTTTCTACATTTATCGTATTGTTTACTTAATATAAAAAGGGGCTGATAACTATCAGAGATGATATACACTGCAAGAAGATATCCCCATCCTGTATGTATCTTTATCGTCTCCAATTTTTTATTCTGTACCCTTGCAACTTTAAGCCTTAATAAAAGAAAGATTGACAAAAAAAAAAATGTTGCCCAATAGTCTCTTTTCATGAATAACACCCATTTTTTTATTGTAATACTATCCACATTGCTTACCATATACTTCCTCCTCAGCGTTGCAATGTTGATTCTATAAGAAAGAAACAAAGATTAATTTGTGACATGTGAGCATTTGTTCATCCATATTAAAGGGGAACTGTTACTTTTCAAGATTTGTGGTAATATATTTACTTATCCCCTGTATTTAGCAAAAATAGTGCTGTTAGGTTTGACTAAAACTAAAAGAAACAAGTGTTTGATTTTATAGTAAATGGTGGCAAACTGATAGATATATAGAATGGCCATATGTAGCACAATATAACCATTTCCAACTATTTCAGTCTAAATCTTACAACTTAGGAATCAGCTCACATTATGACATCTTTAATCCTTTACATTGAGCAATAACTAATAATATAATACTCTGTTCTGGAAGTTATACGATTATGTACAACACTCAAATTATACCCTGTACACAGCACTTTAAATTAGCCATGATGTCACCAAGTATTTCACCCAATGAAAGGGAGCCTCTACACCCTGTTCCAAATGATTATGCAAATTCTATTTAAGTGTCACAAAGATTAAATATTTTGTTTTTCAGTTTAACTCATGGATGGCATTGTGTCTCAGGGCTCTTTTGATCAGTGAAAACAATCTCGGACACCTGTGATAATTAGATTGCCAGGTAAGCCCAATTTAAGGAAAAACTACTAAAGGAGGGTGTTCTACGTTATTAAGCAGAACACCATTTTCATGCAATATGGGGAAGAAAAAGGATCTCTCTGCTGCTGAAAAGAGTGAAATAGTTCAATGACTTGGACGAGGTATGAAAACATTAGATATTTCATGAAAACGTAAGCGTGATCATCGCACTATTAAGAAATTTGTGGCTGATTCAAAGCACAGACGGGTTTGTGCAGATAAAGGCACATTGAGGAAGATTTCTGCCAGATCCATGCATCGGATCAAGAGAGCAGCTGCTAAAATACCATTACATAGCAGCAAACAGATATTTGAAGCTGCTGGTGCCTCTGGAGTCCCACGGACATCAAGGTGTAGAGTCCTCCAGAGTCTTGCAACTGTGCATAAACCTTCTATTCGGCCACAACTAACCAATGCTCACAAGCAGAAACGGCTGCATTGGGCAGAAAAATACATGAAGACTAATTTTCAAACAGTCCTGTTCACTGATGAGTGCAGTACAACCCTGGATAGTCCATATGGATGGAGTAGTGGATGGTTGGTGGATTACCCACCCTGTTCCAACAAGGCTGCGACATCAGCATGGCGGTGGTGGAGTCATGTTTTGGGCCAGAATCATGGGAAGATAACTGGTCGGCCCTTTTAGGGTCCCCAAAGGTGTAAAGATGACCTCTGCAAAGTATGTGGAGTTTCTGACTGACCACTTTCTTCCCTGGTACAGAAGGAAGAACTATGCTTTCCGTAATAAAATCATCTTCATGCATGACAATGCACCATCTCATGCTGCAAAGAATACCTCTGCATCAATGGCTGCTATGGGGATAAAAGGAGAGAAAATCATGGTGTGGCCTCCATCCTCCCCTGATCTCAATCATAAGGAGTCCCTGCTGTAAGAACAATAAGGAAGTGGAATTCTCTGCCTGAAGAATTGGTTTTATCAGAGTCCATACAGATGTTCAAACAGCTACTAGATGCATACTTGCAAAAACAGAATATTCAAGGATATAATCTTTCAATGTAGGGTAATAACTGCTTGATCCAAGGATAAATCTGACTGCCATTCTGGGGTCAAGAAGGATTTTTAGCTTGTTGCAAAATTGTGCTTCAAACTGGGTTTTTTGCCTTCTTTTGGATCAACAGCAAAAAACAAATGTGAGGAAGGCTGAACTTGATGGACGCAAGTCTCTTTTCAGCTGTAACTATGTAACTATGTAACAACCAGTCTCCAGGAGCTGCACTGTCTCCACTCCTCCATAATGAACAGAGGTAACTATGTGTGACTGTCTGCCTATGTGTGTGTGTGTGTGTGTGTGTGTGTGTGTGTGTGTGTGAGACTGCCTGTGTGTGGCTGTCCGTGTGTTTGACTGTCTGCCTGTGTGTGTCTATGCGACTGTTTGCGTCTGTGTGTGTGACTGCCTGTGTGTGTGTGTGACTGTCTGCCTGTGTGTGTGTCTGTGCGTATGACTGTGTGTGAGACTGTCTGCCTGTGTGTGTATGTCTGCCCGTGTGTGTTTGACTGTGTGTGTGTGACTGTCTGCGTGTGTGTCTGTGTCTGCCCGTGTGTGTTTGACTGTCTGCCTGTGTGTGTGGCTGTCTGCATGTAAGTATGTGTGTATAAGACAGTATGTGTGACTGTGTGTGTGGGGCTGTCTGCCTATGTGTGTGTGTGTTGTTTTCTGCCTGTAATTGTGTGTGAGTGTGTTTATCTGCCTGTAACTGTGTTTCTGCCTGATCCTGTGTATGTAACTATCTGCCTGCGACTGTGTGCATGTGATGGATTTGACAGTGTATATGTATAACTGTGTGCATCTGACTGTGGGACTGTGTGCACTTAACTCTGCAAAAATATACACCTGCATTCATATACATATAGGCCTGCATTCACACATAGGCCTAAATGCATATTTGTATCACAGCCAATAAACCCAGCACAAATATCACATACAACCAATACACACATATCACACACAGTACACCCATTACAAATATTACACATAGCCAACACATAGCATACATATCACACACAGTCATCACACCTATTACATACACAGACAACACAAACAATCATATTATAGTGAGATGTATTACAGTGATACATGTATGTACGCAGTGGGCATTGGATAGCATTCCCTTCATCCCCCATAGAACCATAACTTACCCCTTCAAATAATGACAGACAACTTCTTGGAGAAAACAGGCCACAGCATTTATTAACACAACCAAATACTGTATAACTCCTTTAACGTATGATGAAATAATAAATAACATAAATTAACAAACAATTTGCATATAGTCATACAGTAACCAAAGAAACCATCCTTGCCAATCTAACTTCCCCAAGGCTCTCACCTCCCCCTCGGCATAAGAAAAACATCTTCCTTTTCAGGGCTCCCCACCAGCTGGTTTTCCGCTCGGTGGGGCCCAACCATAATGCTCCCCACCGGTTGACTTACAACCCAGTGGGGACACGTCAAACCTGGTACCTCCTCCAGGTTTACCATAAGAGACAGGGGGAGGACGAGACCCGGCCATTATCCCTCTTTTTCATCTAATCTACCAGACCATCCCTTATTTGGCAAGGACACACCCCCGCCACAACCCCGCTGTTTTATCGAAGGATGCCTAGGACGCCCGCTCCGACATCTCACACTGAAACTTCTTGAGGGTAGGGCAAACAATGAATAAGCTGAAACTCCCCCGCCTCCTACTTGGGCACCAGGCCCAAGGGGGACCCGCAACTTGGGGAGCGACGGGGCCTCAAATGACCCCGCGATTCACCCCAAAGCCACCTCCTTATCCAGCACCATCTGCGGGAAGTTGAGCAAACATAAACATAGAATGTGATGGCAGATAAGGACCATTCGGCCTGTCCGGTCTGCCCAATTTTCTAACTACTGTCATTAGTCCCTGGCCATAACTTATAGGTAGGACAGCCTTATGCATATCCCACGCCTGTTTAAACCCCTTTACTGTGTTAACCTCTACGACTTCAGCAGGAAGGCTATTCCATGCATCCACTACCCTTTCAGTAACGTAATACATCCGGGTATTATTTTTAAACCTTCGCCCCTCTAATTTAAGACTATGTACTCTTATTGTGGAAGTTTTACTTCTTTGAAACATAGTCTCCTCCCTACTGCGTTGATTCCCTTGAAGTATGTAAATGTTTTTATCATATCCTCCCTTTCTCGGCTTTCCACCTTTAACTTTTTCTTCAAGGTTTGCACCACCCCGAAGCCGGGCGCTCCGAGCAGGGGATCCCGAAGCCTTGGGTGACCCCCTCCAGCAGGAGCCTCCCCGGACTTACCCCTCTTGAAACAGCAGGAGGCAGAGTGAGCCCCCAGCACGATGGGAGCAGTCGAGCTTAAAGCAGCACGACCTGCCCCACTTACATCAGCTGACATTAAACTTCCCGCAACAACCTGGCTGTTGCTGCGAGGCCGATGGGGCGGACCCACTTCCCCCAGGAAAGGAGGACAAAGCCCCTTTATGCACCGCCGGCCGGGTTACGATGGAGAGCCAGGGGCCAATGTCCATCTGATCCCATGCTACAGCGGGCCAAACCGCAAGGCACTGGCGAAAATGTTCTTCATAGCGCCACCAACCCAGGCCACGCATTCCAAGTGGTGTCCTGGTAAACAGCGGAGAGAGGAGAGAGGAGAGGCATCCGCTCCACACTAGAGCCTATTTTTCTTTTCTCCAATTGCAGCCATCCACCAATTCAGCTCCTAACCCCAATAGATGTTCTAACCACCAAATACAGCCTACAGACCCTATTATTATTATTATATTTATAGAGCGCCGTCAAATTCTGCAGCGCTTTACAATGGGTGGACGAACAGACATGTAGTTATAACCAGACAAGTTGGACACACAGGAACAGAGGGGTTGAGGGCCCTGCTCAATGAGCTTACATGCTAGAGGGAGTGGGGTAAAATGACACAAAAAGGTAAGGATAGTATTAGACTAGTGACAGTTGCAGAAGAGGAATCAGTCAGGAGCTATTAACAGTTTAATTGATCTTACTACAATCCCTACCTCCTCACTACAGCCCCAATCCTTGCACTACAGCCCCTGTCCCCCACTTCAGCACCTAGCCCCTTACTATAACCCCTAACTCCTTAATTACAGCCCCTACAACCCACTACCAATGCCTCTCCTGAGATTAGGTGCTGGATCTGCCCCTGGCACTGATACGTTTTTTGGGCACAAAGATGGCACTAATAAGCTATTTGAGCACAAAGATGGCAGTTATTAGTTATATTGAGACAAAGATGGCACTAATTAGCTATTTTGGGATACAGGTGTCTATGGAAGCTATATAGGGACAGAGATGGCACTGGCAGGGCCGCCATCAGGAGGTGACAACCATAACAGTTGTCATGGGCCCGGCTGCCCTGGGGGGCCCGGCCGCCCGGGCCTAACGTGAAGCGGCGAAACTGCCGCAGGTGCATCTGCACCAGGGCTCATCAGGTGGTCCAAGCATTTAGGGCCACCCAATGGGCCCTATATCTTCAGGGGCCCGGTCAGCGCTGCGGGCGTGTAATTGCGCGACCGGGCCCCTTTAAAAAAAAAAAAAATTGCGGCCACACCGCAAGTGTTGCCAGGAGGAAGTGACGGCGGTCACTTCCTCTCAGCTTACTGCGCGCGGGTGGAGAGCAGAAGGAGAGCAGAGGGAGAGCGGAGAGGCATCTGCTCGCTCCCATCATCCCCAGCCACCCTCCTGCAACTTAAAGGTAAGAGGAGGGTGGCTGATAAATGAGGTGTGTGTGTGTATATGTATGTATGTCTGTGTGTGTATGTATGTCTGTGTGTATGTCTGTGTGTGTGTGTATGTATGTCTGTGTGTATGTCTGTGTGTGTATGTATGTCTGTATGTCTGTGTGTGTATGAATGTCTGTGTGTATGTCTGTATGTCTGTGTATGTGTCTGCAAGTATGTATGTCTGTGTGTATGTCTGTGTGTGTGTGTGTATGTATGTCTGTGTGTATGTCAGTATGTATGTCTGTCTATGTGTATGTCAGTATGTATGTCTGTGTGTGTGTGTATGTCAGTATGTATGTATGTCAGTATGATTGTAAGTCAGTGTGTGTATGTCAATATGTCTGTATGTATGTCAGTATGTATATTTGTCTGTGTGTGTATGTCAGTATGTATGTCTGTGTATGTGTGTATGTATGTCAGTATGCATGTATGTCAGTGTGTGTATGTCAGTGTGTGTATGTCAGTATGTCTGTATGTATGTGTGTATGTGTCTATCTGTATGTGTGTGTGTAGGTCAGTATGTATATATGTCTGTATGTATGTCTTTGTCAGTATGTATGTCTGTGTATGTGTCTGCAAGTATGTATGTCTGTGTGTGTATGTATGTGTGTGTATGTCAGTATGTATGTCTGTGTGTATGTCTGTGTGTATGTATGTGTGTATGTCAGTATGTATGTCTGTGTGTATGTAAGTATGTATGTCTGTGTGTGTATGTCAGTATGTATGTCTGTGTGTATGCATGTGTGTGTGTATGTCAGTATGTATGTATGTCAGTATGCATGTAGTCAGTGTGTGTATGTCAATATGTCTGTATGCATGTGTGTATGTATGTCTGTGTATGTGTGTATGTATGTCAGTATGTATGTATGTCAGTGTGTATGTGTCTATCTATCTGTATGTGTGTGTGTGTGTATGTCAGTATGTATATATGTCTGTATATATGTCTTTGTCAGTATGTATGTCTGTGTATGTGTCTGCAAGTATGTATGTATGTATGTGTGTGTATGTCAGTATGTATGTCTGTATGTATGTATGTATGTATGTCAGTATGCATGTATGTCTGTGTGTGTGTATGTCAGTATGTCTGTATGTATGTGTCTATCTGTATGTGTGTGTGTGTGTGTGTTTGTCAGTATGTGTGTATGTCAGTATGTATCTGTGTATGTATGTATATATCTGTCAGTATGCATGTGTCTGTGTGTGTATGTCAGTATGTCTGTATGTATCTGTGTATGTATATATCTATCTGTGTGTGTGTGTGTGTGTATGTCTGTATGTATGTATGTATGTATATCAGTATGTATGTGTATGTATGCCATTATGTGCATGTATGTATGTCTGTTTGTATGTCTGTAAGTCAGTTTGTATGTATGTCTGTTTGTCAGTATGTATGTATGTGTGTGTGTCAGTATGTGAGTATGTATGTATGTCAGTGTGTGTGTCTGTATATCAGTGTGTTTGTGTGTGTGTGTATCTGTGTATGTGTCTGTATGTGTGAATGTCTGTTTCAGTATTTGTGTCTGTGAGTATGTGTGTATCTTTCTGTGTCTGTGTCCTTTTGTGTCTGTGTGTGTGTATTCCTGTAGGAGGGATTTGGAGGCGGGGCTTGGAGGCGGGCACACGACGACCCAGACATTGAGCTGTGTTAGGGGCACCACAATTTCTGATGGCAGCCCTGAGCACTGGGAAGCTATGCACAAAGATGACACTGAAAAGCTTTTTGGGGGCAAAGCTGGGATTGCAGGAAGTGGGTGACATGCTACCTTGTGTAGTTGGAGGGCCCAGAGATTTGGAGTGGTTTCCATAGGAAATGGGTGTGGTTAAAAGGTGTTTTGTTTGTGAAAGGGAGGGGTTGGCAAAAATATTTTTGCACCCAGTGACCCTAGGATCGGCCCTGGCACTCCAGATGTGGATTAGATCCACTCTGATGCTTTGCCAGTATTAGTGGAGTGGAGTGCTGAAGGATGCCTACTTTTGATCTAGAATTATGGTTGGAGGGTATATAGGATTATGGATGATATAGGATTACAGGGAATTTAAGGATAGAGAATGCTTGCCTTCAAGTTGCCACAGACTATAACTATGAGTGTAAATAAGACAAAAGCATTCTATATCATTTTTAAAGTTCCACTCATGGCACTATAACTACTTAATCAAAATGAAATTGTTATTGTGCGAAGAAGTCCAGGCAGTTAAAATGTATATATCTCTTTCACTCTCTTTTCTCAATGGGGAGTTCATGAGGGACTGAGAGTGTCAGCCGATGCTCACAGTTTATCAGCGGCACCCAGTCCAAGGCTTCCTCCAGTTGTTAACGGTTTAACCCCTTCAGATAAGCAATCATTTGGGACCTGCTTGTATCATAACAACCTAATTGCAATGAAGTTGTTTTAATGCCAGGAGTGTCCCTTTAAGGAAGGTTCCCTTAAGTAGCCCCCTTTTAAAGTGAATCTGTCACATCTGAGTTTGTAAAAACCCTCCGACTATGACATTGTGGCTGGGGTGGCAGACAAAGATGAGTTTTACTTGCCTGAACCTGTCCCTCGTGAGCATCACCGTCCTCTTCCTGCTGCTATTCTTCAGCACAAGAGTACAGCATTGAAGTCTATGGAGTACAGCACTGAGGTCTATGGAGGATCTTCCATAGAAATAGTAAATTTACATGATTTGATGGCGGTACCTTCATCTAGTGTCAAGTAGTGTCAGGCATTAGTGACAAAGCTTTGTCTCAGTATATGTTTCGACATGGTTAAAATTTCAGTGGAATGCCAACACAGTCACTCTGAGTATTTCATAGAGATTCTATCTTCATGTAATACTCATTTTGCAAGGGAAAGTGGCTGTGTGACATTGCTGTTTTAACCATAACAACCCCCTAACTCTAAATTCCTAAAACCCTATGTAATGGATCACCTGGTACCCCGACTGGGTACCTCCGTTGACGGATGCTCCTAGCGCTTTCTGAGGGCTCCAAGCACTCCAGCCGACACCATAACCACCGTAGACTCCTTCCGAGAGCAAGACAGGAACAAGCTCTTAAAAGAGCTTAGAAGTGATTATCCAAGGGAGCATGCAGAGCATAGCAATATCTTGTAGTGATATAGCAATTCCCCCAATAAGAGACAGGACTCTAGATTGAGGGTGACGAAGAACTGTATGACTTGGCACCAAAGGGCCTTCTTTTATGCAGGTTTTCCACACATAGTACCACCCACAGAGTTTTTCAGAACAACCAATTAAAACATTACAACACATACAATGCAAGTACAGCAGCCAATCAGACACAATGGGACAATAGAAACACCCATCATATTCCTCCCCTCTGCTTAGGAGATAATTGAGTCAATTACTGTATCTACTCAATTATCTCCAAGCTGAAAAGTTACACTTTTTATAAATTCTTATAACTTTGTAAGTTTACATCGTACATACATAAAACTTATATTATTTTAACCAGTATAACTTGGGGACAAACATATCCAAAATTCACTTGAATAGGTTCAGGGGTTTAAAGGACCACTATAGTGCCAGGAAAACATACTCGTTTTCCTGGCACTATATTGCCCTGAGGGTACCTCCACCCTCAGGGACCCCCTCCCGCCGGGCTCTGGGGTGAGGAAGGGGTTAAACTTACCTCTTTCTCCAGCGCTGGGTAGGGAGCTCTCCTCCTCCTCTTCGGCTGAATGCGCATGCGCGGCAGGAGCTGCGCGCGCATTTAGCCAGTCTCATAGGAAAGCATTCATAATGATTTTCACAGTGAGAAGCACGCAAGCGCCTCTAGCGGCTGTCAAGAGACAGCCACTAGAGGCTGGATTAACCTATTTATAAACATAGCAGTTTCTCTGAAACTGCTATGTTTATAAAAAAAAGGGTTAACCCTAGCTGGACCAGGCACCCAGACCACTTCATTAAGCTGAAGTGGTCTAGGAGCCTATAGTGGTCCTTTAAAGGTTAGGTTGAAGTCCTTTGTTATCACTTGCAAGCATGGCTTTTCCTGCCCAAACCAGTTCCCACTGGTCTGGCAGTGTCCCTGGGACAACGCCCTGCTGGAGAACAATGGAGCTGGGGGAGGGGAAGAGCCACACCTTTCCAGGGATTCAAAGGGGAAGAAAAAGTGTCCAAAAATTTTTAATATGTTGATACACAGTTTTAAAGGGCCAGCACCGTACAATAAAAGTCCATAAGCCTAAATGCTGGTTTAAACAGGTATAATCTCCCAGGGGCCATAGTCGCAGGGCAGGAGGCTGGCAAGCAGGCCTCTCCAGGACCAAGTGCTGAAGTGCACTTCGTCACACCCTAATCCTACAATAATTGCTGAGGACTAGTGATGTCCCGAACGGTTCGCCGAACGGTTTGCCGCAGACGGCGAACATATGCGCTGTTCAGTCCGCCCCCTATTCGTCATCATTGAGTAAACTTTGACCCTGTACCTCACAGTCAGCAGACACATTCCAGCCAATCAGCAGCAGACCCTCCCTCCCAGACCCTCCCACCTCCTGGACAGCTCACTAAGAAAGCTGCATTCTTAAAATGGATGCTGTCCAGGAGGTGGGTAGGAGGGTCTGGGAGGGAGGGTCTGCTGCTGATTGGCTGGAATGTGTCTACTTTGACTTTATGTACAGGAATCAAGACCCTCAGTAACATAAAGCAGACCAGGCTACTTTTATATGTCGCAATCACGTCTTTGGCTGCATTCAGCCCAGCTCAAGATATCCTCAGACCACTACACATTAATATTGATATATTCTGTGTCATTACAGCATTGCGTAATACAAATATGGACCACATTTATGCTCAAAATACACCATGAGATGAGCAAATGGCATACAGGAATGTCATAAGTTTGACTATATAAATTTTAAGATTCTAAACAGTGTGCACTTATGGAGTTACATAAATGTGTTAGCTGCTTAAATTCCCCAACATTAGACATAGTAAAAACAAAGAGGAAATTGGGGGGCACACAAGGAACATGTATTTTACAGGAATGGTGCTTCCGTAGAGACCAAAATTTATACGTAATACAGATTAAGGAACAGCGCACATATAAAAATAAAATGTAAAATGTTATAAGGCTATTTAAAATCACCTATTTCAGCAAAAAATATGGGGATTCAGTTTCACCACATGGCCATGTTGTGTTAAGCCCACCACCAGGGTCATCTTTCCGCGTTGCCCCTGACAAAAAAATCCCTTATCTCTATGCACCTCTCCTCACACATACAGCACACCTCACACACACAGTACGCTTCTTACACACACAGCACCCCTCTCACACACGCAGCACCTCACTCACATACACACACAGCACCTCGCTCACACACACAGCACCTCGCTCACACACACAGCACCTCGCTCACACACAAACACCCCTCTCACACACAAACACCCCTCTCACACACAAACACCCCTCTCACACACGCAGCACCCCTCTCACACACGCAGCACCCCTCTCACACACACAGCCGCCATCACACACACAGCACCCCTCACACCCACACACAGGCAATTCCTCTCACAAGCATGCTGGTATGAGCATTGCCACTGACAAAAATCCCTTATCTCTATGCATCCCCCCTCACACACACACAGTAGCCCTCACATACACACATCACGCCTCTTACACACGCAGCACTCCACTTACACACGCAGCACTCCACTTACACATGCAGCACCCCTCTCACACACGCAGGACCCCTCTCACACACGCAGGACCCCTCTCACACACGCAGGACCCCTCTCACACATGCAGCACCCCTCTCACACACACATCTGCCATCACACACACACAGCACCCCTCAAACCCACACACAGGCAGTTCCTCCCACGGGCATGCTGGTCTGAGTGTTGCCACTGACAAAAAAATCCATTATTTCTATGCATCCCCCCTCACACACAGGACCCTTCAGACACACACACACACACACACACACACACACATACATACAACCCCACACACAGCACCTCACTCACACAGCAGCTTATTCACACACACAGCACACCTCACACACAATGCACCCCTTACACACACGGCACCACACACACTGAACCCCCCACACACAGCACCCCTCATACACACACAGCACCCCTCACATGCACACACATGCACACACACTACACACACTTAACATTTCACATACATACAGAGCACTACACACACACACACACACACACAAACACACCACCCTTCAAACAGACTGTACACCTCACACACAGCACCACACACACACCCTCACATTACCCTTCACACAGACTGTACACCTCACACACAGCACCCCTCACACACAGCACCTCTCACACACAGCACCTCTCACACAAACTGAATCCCACAACCATACATACACTGCACTCCACACACACACCTGTCACACACACAGCACCACTGGCACACACACAAAGCACCACACACAAACACACTGCAATCATCACTGCTGTCTGTATGTATGTGTTCAGCAGTATGTGTATGTATTCAGCAGTCTGTGTACATGTATTTAGCAGTCTGTCTGTGTATTCAGCAGTCTGTGTGTATGTATTCAGCAGCCTGTGCGTATATACAGCAGCCTGTGTGTATTCTGCATTTTGTGTGTATTTAGCAGTCTGTGGGGGTGTATTCAGCAGTCTGTATGTGTATTCAGTAGTCGGTGTGTTTGTATTGTATGAATGTATTGCATTTGTCAGAGGTTACCAATAAATATCAGCTTAATTTTATCGATAATTTAAATTTTTATTCCTGTGACTGGTTGTGTAGGCAGGGCCCCACTGCTTTGCCTGGGGGTCCATAATGTTGTTAAGATGGTACTGCCCACCACTGCTTCCCAGTACACCAATAACGGTGGGACATACACTATTTTCTACTAACAGTAGACATAGTCCTAGAAAATTAAGTCTAAATTACATGATTTCAAAATACAATTATAAAACTGTATATCGGCCCAGTACAGAGCCGCACCGTCTTGAGGCCCGTGGGCAGTCTGACAGGAAGTGCTCACTGAGAGAACATTTCCTGTCAAACCAGGTACTGCGGCAGGGCGTAAACAGGTACAGAAGGGGAGGGTGGGGTTGGGAATGACACACATAGAGGGGTGGAGGGGTTCGGGATGACACACAAAAGAGCTGGGGGGGCGTTGGAGATGACACACACGGAGGGACAGGTGGGGTTGGGAATGACACACATGGAGGGGCTGGGTCGGGTTGGGAATGACACACATGGAAGAGCTGGGGGGTTTGAAAAATGACACACATGGAGGGGCTGGGTAGGTTGGGGATGACACATGTATGGGCTGCTGGGTTTGGAATGACACACATGGAGGGGCTGGGGGGGAAATGTGATGCATGGAGGGGCTACAGAAGAATGAGATGCATGGAGGGGCTATAGGGGAGGGAATAAGATGCATGGAGAGGCTGATGGGTAAATAAAAGGCATGGTGGGGCTGGGGGTAAATGAGACGCATGGAGGGGCTAGGGAGGAATGAGATGCTTGGAGAGACTATGTCACATGGAAGGACCGAGGGGATGAGACACATGGGGGGCGGGGGGACCCAGTGATTTCTAGGTAATCCTCTGCCAGACATCAATGTATTCCTCCATCTATTTCCTTAACTTGATCCTGCCAGTTTTGGTATGATAGGAATTAGGGACCGTGCTGCAAGTATTTTTAGATTTTTTTTTTTGGCCTTTTGTTAGTTTTGATCTTTCAGATGGTTTTTTTTTAGATAACTCCCCATTTTGCTATCCTTTTGTGGGATTGCCAAATTTAAGGATTCCATATTAGGGAGCTATCGACTAAACAACTGAAAGAGCAAAATTAAGAAAAGAAGGACTTGTCTTAATATTTCTCTTACAGCTGTGTAGTCAAAAGCTTCATTTTCTATTCTTATCAAAACAAATAGATTAGAAACAAATGGATCTATAATTTGATTAATTATGGATCCATTAGGTTTGCAGTGATTCGGAAATTAATACAATTCTAAATTGCAAAATGGGTCATAATTTGGATGAAATTTGATTTTTTTTATTTTGCAACAACTTGCAGATAGAGATGTCGCGAACTGTCCGCCAAACTGTTCGCGAACTGTCCGCCGGCGAACAATAGCGTGTTCGAGTTGGGCGATTTCCGATTTCCGGTCCGCCCCCTATACGTCATCATTGAGTAAACTTTGACCCGGAACCTCACAGTCAGCAGACAGATTCCAGCCAATCAGCAGCAGACCCTCCCTCCCAGACCCTCCCACCTCCTGGACAGCTCACTAAGAATGCCAGCAGACACATTCCACCCAATCAGCAGCAGACCCTCCCTCCCAGGAAGTGTCTGCTGACTGTGAGGTTCCGGGTCAAAGTTTACTCAATGATGACGTATAGGGGACGGACCGGAAATCGGATATGTTCGCCCAACGCGAACACGCTATTGTTCGCCGGCGGACAGTTCGCGAACAGTTCGGCGGACAGTTCGCGACATCTCTACTTGCAGAAGTCTGGTATTTACTATATAAATTTTAAGCCAGCTTACCTTTTCAACATTGTTGTTTTTCATAGCCTTTGCATGCAGGTCTTGTGTGCTAGTGGAGCTTCCTAGAAGTTAATCACAGACATGATCAGGATAATACCCTAAACCATTGTTTCCAAAACTAGTCCTCAAGACCCACCAATATCTCCATTGGACTAAAACAGGGAAATATCCTGGACTGTTTTTGCTCCATGAGATTTGGTATGGGAACCACTTTCCTAAACAACTATATCAGGTCACATCTTGTTAATAGTCTAAATACTGCTTCATTGGACGCAGTTTTGGTATACAGTTCATGCCCTAGCAGTCTCATTTCCCACTATTCTGCATTCAACAAGAGTTAAATCCCTTTTGTTTCTGTTTCCATGAAAAAAAATCATTTCCAATCAAATCTTACAGCACAGTGTGTTCACTTTAAACATTGTTATCACACACAATTCTTCTGCAGGATATAATTAAAAAAGTATGAGATAAGAAAGTCTAAATTAAAGGAACACTATAGGGTTAGAAACACTTGTATTCAAGTCTGCATGCTGTCTCTGCCCCTGATCTGCCTGCATGGCTGACACATCAGAATTGGTGGTCTGAGCCAATCACAATGCTTCTGTGATTGACAGCTTACCCATAGGATTGACTGAGACTGTCAAGGAGGCAGGTCAGGGGCAGAGCTAGCACAAGTCAAACACAGCCCTGGCCAATCAACATCTCGTCATAGAGATGCATTGAATCAATGCATATCTATGTGAAAAGTTCAGTGTCTCCATTGATGGAGACACTGAATGGCAGTGCTGCACAGTGTGCAGCCCTGTCCCAGGAAACACAGCTAGTAGCCATTTGAGAAGTGGTCAGTGGAGTTATCACAGGGCTATAATGTAAACACTGCATTTTCTCTGAAAAGACAGTGTTTACTGCAAAAAGTCTGAGGGGAATGATCCTACTCACCAGAACAAGTACAATAAGCTGTAGTTGTTCTGGAGGCTACAGTGTCCCTTTAAGAACACTCTGCAATAAGGGAAGATAAACTTTTTTTTACTTCAGCAAGTTGCATGATCTATACATCAAAACCACGTCATTAAGCTTAAGTTGTTTTGGTGCTTAGAGTATCCCTTTAATTGATCATGCAGTAGTATGGATATACTCTTACTTTGTTAAAGTAACACTATAGGATCAGGATCAAAACATGTATGCCTGGCCCTATAGTGTTAAAATGACCTTGTAGCCCCCCACTTTACCCCCTATATATAGCAAAATATGTATTCCAGTCTGCTGTTGCTGGCTCTGCCCTTGATCTGCCTGTTTGGCTGACATAATCTGAAGTGATTCTCTGAGCCAATCACAGTGCTTTCCCATAGGATTGACTGAGACTGTCAAGGAGGCAGATCAGGGGCAGAGCCAGCACAAGCCAAACACAACCCTGGCCAATCAGTATCTCCTCATAGAGATGCATTGAATCAATACATCTCTATGAGTAAAATACAGTGTCTCCATACAGAGGGTGGAAACACTAAATAGCAGTCACATTGTGCAGCACTGCCCCAGGAAGCACCTCTAATAGCCATCTGAGAAGTGGCAAAGGAGAGTTATACCTAGGCTGTAATGTAAACATTGCATTTTCTCTGAAAATACACTGTTTACTGTAAAAAGCCTGAAGGTAATGATTAAACTCGCCAGAAAAAAATACAATAAGCTGTAGTTGTTCTGGTGACTAAAGTGTCCCTTTAAACTGATATAAATATATAAACGTTCAGGCAGAATATAGACATTGGAAGCAGAATAAGACAGGAAATAAACTACAGGACCAAAAACCTTCCTTTATCATTATAAATAACACCTTTCCTATACATATTGTATTGATTATGTCTAAATTATATCAATCTTCATGCCTATCACTGACTTTGATTCCTTTTTTTTTCCCCATGGAAAGATGTTTATTTAGATTTACATTTAGCTAGCAATCTTCAAGTACAATAAATGTTCTCTAAATTGTTTGAAGAAGAGAAAAGTCAATAGAATTAATAACAACTACTCACTAAACAACAGTAACTCATTGTTCTAATCCCAGTTAAGTGACATAAACATCACCACTCCCCTACCTTGAATTATGAGAATGATGAGTGCTAAGTATTTCTTGCATAGCACTACAATGACAGTTACAATCAGTGCAATTCCCAAGATGCTTCCAAAGATGATTCCAACACTAGATGCAGCATCGCATTTCGGAAGGGATTCAATCATATCTGTTATTTAAGATTTACAATACATCATGTGTTAAAAATGATGATTGAATGAAAAAAAACAAACATTATTTCTTAACCCCATTCATAAGAACAGTGGACCTTTGACAGAATTGTTATAACATAGAACAGAAAAGAGGTATATATATTGATCAGCCACAGCATTAAAACCACTGCAAGATGGAGGGAATAGCATTGATTATATTGTTACAATGGCACCTGTCAAGGGGTGGGATATATTAGGCAGCAAGTTATTGAATGTCATGTGTTGGAAGCAGGAAAAATGGGCAAGCAAAAATATCTGAGTGACTTTGAGAAGAGCCCAATAGTGATAACTAGACAACTGGGTCAGAGTATCTCCAAAATGGCAAGTCTTGTGGGGTGTTCCCTCCTGGTATGCAGTGGTTAGTACCTCCCAAAAGTGGTGCAAGGAAGGAAAACTGGTAAATTGGCGTCAATGTCATGGGCGCCCATGGTTTATTGATGCCTGTAGGGAGCAAAGGCTAGCCAATTTGGTCCAATTACACAGAGCTTCTTGTCACATGTTCATCCTCACCTCGTTGTGCTTGTGATGACAACTGCCTTTCTGGCATTGATGGAGGTGCCACTCAGCAGCCCTGTAGCGGTGTATCTGACTCCTGCGGCATGTTGAAGGATGCCGGTCGCTGCGGATGCATTCCAATTTGTAACCCCATGTCCACCCATGGTATTGACGACACACATTCTGTGGTTAAAGGCTGGGTACGGTCAATCGGATCTGAAGGAGGCTTATTTAAACTCCTTTTTCCTTTACATCATTGCCCTGTCGTGGTTTCCCTTAGTAGGTTATCCAAGAGAGTGTTCCTGAGTGTTTATTTCAGGTTTTTTTACTTTGGCTTTGTTTTGACTTCCCTGTATTCTGGTATCCTTGACTTTCGGCTTTTCCCTCATCGTTGTGTCTCCCTCTGTGTCCCTGACCTCGGCAAATACTATTTTCTGGTACGTTAAGTCTGGCTATTCTAAGGCCCGGTAAGACGTTACCTTACGTCCTAGGTTTGATACCATTCTGCGTGCTGGATTAACTATTATCCTGACACTTCTGTAGCTCAAACTAATGAAAAACATAATGCTGGCACATATAGAAAGTTGTCAGAACATTGAGTGCATCACAGTTTGCTATGTACGGGACTGCGTAGCCGCAGACCAGTCAGAGTGCTCATGATGACCCTTGTCCACCACCTAATGAGGACATGAGCATTAGAACTGGATCAATAGAAGAAAGTTCCCTGTTCTAATGAATCACGTTTCCTCAGATGTATCACTTTAGTTGTATCACCTAGTGCTTGTGTGTCGTTTACCTGGGGAAGAGCTGGCAGCAGGATGCGCGTTGGGAAGAAGGCAGACCAGCAGGAGGCAGTGTTATGCTCTGGGAAATGTTCTGCTTGGAAACCTTGGGTCTTGGCATTCAGGTGGATGTTACTTTGACACATACCACCTAACTAGAGATTTTTGCAGACCATGTACACCCCTTCATGGCAATGGTGTTCCCTGATGGCAGTAGCCTCTTTCAGCAGGGTAATGCACACTGCCCCACTGCAAAAATTGTTCAGGAATGCTTTGAGGAACATTACAAAGAGTTCAATGTGTTGAATTGGCCTCCAAACTACCCAAGTCTCAATCTGATTGAGTATCTTTCGGATATGATGGAACAACAAATCCGACCTATGGAGGTCCCATCTTGCAAGACTTAAAGGATCTGCTGCTAATTTGTTGGTGCCTTATACCACAGGACACATTCCAAGGAAGTCCATATCTTGATGCATCAAAGCTGTTTTGGCACAACAATGGGGACCTACCCAATATTAGGCAGGCAGTTTTAATGTTGTGGCTAATCAGAGGGCAGTTATATACTGACATTACAAAATAACGTATGATTATTTATTTTAAATAATAACAAATTGCACTTTTCCTTTATGGCAATATGTATGGTTGTCTTATGTAATATTATGAAATCTATAACTCATATATAAAATAAAATATATGAACTCATTATTTTACATGAAAAATAATGTGCTAGTGTATTAAATTATGTACAAGTTGGTTTATAGTGAAGTTTGCATTAGCCCTGTGCATTTGACTTATGTATTTCTATCAATCTATCATAGCCCCTTTATCAGTTTATTTTTCAGGCCATTTGTTAACAAATGTAGTTCATACAGATTGGGGACTATTTTGGGTGGGTTTTTGAACATAAACGAAGCAATGCAATGGTGTTTTTCCTTAAACATAGTTTCATGGTGTAAAGGTTCAGTACATTTTGGAATGAACATATTTATTAAAAGTGTGATATTTCTTATTAAGTCAGTCTACCATACTTAATACTTAATAGAACAAGTCTCCTGATCAATATTTCTTGAATATATGAAGTGTGTTTTTGTATTTTACCATACAAGTGTTTGGTCTTACCAAAACCTTTGTGGCATTTAGTCCAATTTGAGATATGCAGGTATTATTTCTAGGTGCACAGTGGGTGTTTTTAATTTTATTTTTATTTTATTTTTTTTTCAATGTATTTTATTTTCGGTTTTTCAATGAATATGCATAGTATACAAAAGGGGGATAACGTGGGAGGGGGTACACGGAGAGAAAAAGGAAGGGGGGGAGGGAGGGCGACAATGCATAAAACAATGTATCATAGTCATACAAAAAGTATTAATATTAACATCTGTGCATAGAATTGGATATTAATCATTAGGCACACTTCACCAGCTTCTGAATATAATACATATATACAATGGTAGTTCTATTCAAGTTTGCCTGAAACATTTTAAGGCACTAATTTGTTTCTGTACGCCCTAACTGTTAAGACCGCCGAGGCGGGGGGAGAGATTGGTGGGGGGTTAGCGAAGCTGTGCTATGGCAAATGCTCTGTGGGGGTTTTACTGTGTTTGGAACCTATCTGTATGCTCTAAAACAGACTTCAACTTCCAGACCAGAACTGGCACTATGCTGATGAGACCGAATCACAAATAAAGTCCATGACTGGTTTAAAAAAAAAAAGCTGTGTATAAAACAGCATCCAATCCTCAGGATACCTGCAGAAAAGCAGGATAAAGTCTAAACACAATCCCTGTCTGTGCTAATTTGCATTCCACTCTGGGAACTCTGGGTAGTTATGGAAACAGGATTTCTTAAGTTTCTGTGCACAAGGTGGATTCCCCAAGAGCAACTTAAGAATTGTAGGTAGTGCACAGAAGTAAATTTTCTCTATACACTTCCGGAAGTTTTATTGTGTTCGGTCTCACCACAAACTTTTTGGCACCTTGCTACATACACACCCTAAACTTGCTTAATGCACAACAGACATAAAACTCACCAGATCAGTCAAGAGTGATGTCATGCTTAAAGGATCACTATAGGAACCCAGACCACTTCAGCTCAATACAGTGGTCTGTGTGCCAGGTCCCCATAGTTTTAACCCAGCAGCTTTACATTGCAGGGTTAATACAGCCTCTAGTGGCTGTCTCCCTGACAGCCACTAAAGGCTGCTTCCGCAATTCTCAGTGAGTAAATTGCGTCCTCACAGAGTCCAGCATCAAATAAGATCCCCATAGGGTGGAATTGAATGTGCACGCGCCTCTGGCCATGCATGCCCATTCGGGTTCACTTGGGAGCCTGCGTCGGCAGGGGGAGGAGAGTTCACCAGCGCAGAGGGAGCTCAGCGCTGGAGTAAGGTAAGTGGCTAACCCCTTCAGCCCAGCGGGAGGGGGGCCTCGAGAGAGGGGAGGACCTATTAACCTTATAATGCCAGGAACACGAGTTTGTTTTCCTGGCATTATACGATCCCTTTACCTTTTTGCATTAGAAGCTAGATTTGGCCAAACTAAACAAAATTAACTTATGGGTTAACTAAATATCTAAACACCTGTGAGTTCTTATTATCCACATAACCTTTTACTCTCTTTTGACAATGGCAAGCATTTTTCAAGATGTGCCGTTTACATATGCATTTCTTTTTGGTATCAAGTTGTATTCCGCTGTTTGTAGTAAGAAAACCATGATTTGAAAAACTCATTCATGACAAAGCTGCCTGGAGAACAGCGCAGAATAGCAGCAAATAAAATGTCTTACCATAGATTTTCTTGCAGACTTATCCAATAATGAAAAATAAAAATAAGGGTTATTCACTAAACTGAGAATTCAAAGTGAATTTCAAATTTAAGGAGAATGAAGCCAAATTGGAAGCATAGCTGATATTTGTTCTAATTAGGCTGGTTTGACCTTAAATTTGAAATTCACTTTGCATTCTTACTTTAGTAAATAACTCTGTATGACCTTAAAGGGACACTATAGTCACCAAAACAACTTTAGCTTAATAAAGATGTTTAGGTGTATAGATTATGCCTCTGCAGTGTCACTCCTCAACTATCTGCCAATCAGGAGTTAAATCGCTGTTTATACAGCCCAAGGCATATCTCCTTGCACACAGCCTTCCTACACTTTCTCTAAAGAGTCATCTAATGTTTACACTTCTTTTATTGTAAATTCTGTTTAACACATAGTTTCTTATCTCCTGCTCTGTTAATAGTCTCCTAGACCCTGCAGAAGCCTCCTGGCTGTGATCAAAGTTCAATTTACAGTGCGTGAGGTAAAAACCTTTAACCCCTTAAGGACACATGACATGTCATGATTCCCTTTGATTCCAGAAGTTTGGTACTTAAGGGGTTAAATTAAGTTACATCTGATTGAATATTAAACCAATTTCTTTTATGCAGGCTGTGTATTGCTGCATAAACAGATACAAAAGGGATTTAACCCCTAAATGGCAATGAATTGAGCAGTGAAACTTCAGAGGCATGATCTATGCACAAAAACTGTTTCATTCAGCGAAAACTTTTTTTGGTGACTAAAGTGTCCCTTTAACCCCTTAAGGACACATGACGTGTGACATGTCACGATTCCCTTTTATTTCAGAAGTTTGGTCCTTAAGGGGTTAAGAACAAGATTTATCTATATCTATTAGTCAGATGTCATAGCTTTGTTGTCTATTTTGCAATGGCAGTTTATATGAAAGACAAATATTGAGTCCTTTTGTTGATGACTGGACTTACCGAATGTCACAAAAATGGAAACGTTTGCTGTTCTTTTTGTTACTGGGTTTTCTACCATACAGGTAAAGTTACCATAGTTTGCTTTTGTAGGACACTCCATATGAAGTATATCCTGCTGGACATGCATGTCTTTCTCATTGTGTATCCAACGGTAGATCGGTATTGGGAAAGATGCTACAGAACATTTTAAAGGGAATGTAGAATTGTTGTTGGTTTCAAAGGAATGTATAATTGACAGGTTCTCAGGGCCATCTGTAATTATAGAAAATAATAAATAGAAATAGACAAAAGAAAAACAGGGGAGGCAAACAGCTTCTTAAATTCCTTTATAAATGTAACACAATAACATCTATAGGTACTTTGAAACTTTGACCAATGAGATTTTTATATATATGCATTTTATCAAGATTTTATAATAAATGGATACTGAAGGCACCAAAGCAAAGCAGTGAAGGAATTTAAGCATGCGTAGGATAGGCTTAAGATAAGGCTAGGGACTAATGAAAGTATTTAGAAAATTGAGCAGACTAGATGGGCCGAATGGTTCTCATCTGCCGTCACATTCTATGTTTCTATGTTTAAAGCAACTTTAGCTTAATGTGCATTACTTAACATTGATATAGGAGGTAACAGCTCTAATCTAAGCCAACTGTCTGTCTGGAATTGTGACCAGGAAACTAGGTGGAATAACCTTTTTATGGAAGGCACATGTAACTTCCATTAAACTTATATATCTACCTTTTCTGTATCTCCATCTTGCTGGTCCACCTTCTATATATATCTGATCTTATGTAGAATGTTCTGTCTAAACGTTTCTGGTTACCTCTCCAGCTAATAAAGTATTTTCTATTATCACTTCTATAAATATACTTTCTTATTTTTTTTATGTGTGCTTTCTGTTTTGTATAGTTTTATTTTATTGTATTGCTTTCAGTTGAAATTCCCTCACATGCTTTCTCTCACATATTTTTGAATTAAGCAACATATTAATTAACTAATTAATTAATTGGCTTGCACCAGGGCCGGACTGGGAAAACAAATTTGTCCGGGCATTTTTTAATCACCCTGGCTCATGGAGAAGGGGGTGGAGCCAGAGAAGGTGTGTTTTGTCATCACCAATGACAAGCATGCCCCTTTCAAAGTGAGCATGTTGGTTCAATGCTCTTCTAGGGCAGACCATGTGCAGAGCTCTGCTGAAGAGCTCTAGCATGAGAAAAAGGCCCTGTATGTGTTCTGCACAGTGCAAGCAAATTTAATAACATGATTGTGCTGTGTTTGCTTGAAACTTGTCTCTGGTATCTCATAAATGGATACCAGGAGACAAATGCCAAGAAAGAGTATTGTACATGTGTTTGGAGCCTGCTTGTGGAATTGCGTGTGTATAAAGTGCACCAATTGTGGTGTGGTATTGTGTAAATAGGTTGGTTTCAGTCGTGTTGTGTTTGTGGTGTAATGTAATGCAGGGGCGTATTAGCCGCGAGGCAAAAAACGCCGCCCCCAAATGCCAGGGCAAATATCTTGTTAGCCTCGCGGCTAACAGACATGCCGAGCGGGCGGCGCTGGCAGGCGGCTGGCGAGGGAGCACTTCCTCTGAGCTGACTGCTCAGCTCCCTCACGTGCCGCAGAGTGAGGCTGGGAGCCGGAAGATTACGTCATATTCCGGCTCCCAGCCTCACCCTGCGGCGCGCGAGGGAGCTGAGCAGAGAGCTCAGAGGAAGAGCTCCCTCACCAGCCGCACGCCCAGCAGCCAGCCCATCACCCCGACCGGCAGCTACTGGACCACCAGGGAGAGAGAGACCCCCCCAGCACTCCCAAAGGTAACGAGGCTGGGGGGGTGGGTTAAAAAAAAAAGTTAATGTGAGTGATTGTGTGTGTCTGACTGTGTGTTTGTGTCTGACTGTGTGTGTGTGTGTTTATGTCTGACTGTGTGTGTGTTTGTGACTGAGGTGTGTGTTTGTGTCTGACTGTGTTTGTGTCTGTGTGTGTCTGACTGTGTGTGTGTCTGTGTGTGTGTCTGACTGTGTGTGTGTGTTTGTGTCTGACTGTGTGTGTGTGTTTGTGTCTGACTGTGTGTGTCTGACTGTGTGTGTGTTTGTGACTGAGGTGTGTGTGTGTGTGTGTTTGTGACTGAGGTGTGTGTTTGTGTCTGACTGTGTTTGTGTCTGTGTGTGTGTGTTTGTGTGTGTGTAGGGGATCTAGTGTGTGTTTGAAGGACCCATAGTGTGTATTTATTTATTTATTTATTTATAAAATATTTTACCAGGAAAGATACATTGAGATTTCTCTCGTTTTCAAGTATGTCCTGGGTCCACAAATCATTGCATTGTTACATTAGGTACAACAAAATACAAAAACAATATTAATACACAATATATACAAAATTTAACATAGAACAGGCAGGAAATATATAATCAACCATGACACGTGCATTCTGTTTTGAGGTATGTAGAGAGGGATCTCTTAAATGACTTTAGGCTTAGGGAAGATTTTAAATTGTGCGGGAGGTCGTTCCACAATTGCGGCGCTCTGTAGGAGAAGGAGGATCGGGCCGCTTTCTTTTTGTATTGAGGTAGACTAAGTAAAGTGCTTGTACTGGATCGGAGCTTATAGAAAGTGGGAACAGCTAAGGAAAGCATTTTGTTCAGGTAGGGTGGGAGTTTCCCAGAGAAGCTCTTAAAAACAAGGCTGGAAAGATGAAGGGTGCGTCTGGATTCCAGCGATAGCCAGTTTAGTTCCTTTAGCATGTCACAATGATGGGTCCTGTAATTACATTGTAGCACAAATCGGCAGAACGAGTTATACAATGTGTTGAGTTTATTAATGTGGGATTGCGATGCAGACGCATATACTACATCCCCATAATCAATGATTGGCATCAGCATTTGCTGTACAATCTTTTCCTTTACTGTAGGGCTTAGGCAGGCTTTGTTTCTGTACAGGGCACCTAATTTTGGATAAAGTTTAGATGCAAGCTTTTCTATGTGCAGGCCAAAAGATAAATTGGGGTCTAATATCATACCCAAGTATTTGAAAGAGTGGACCGCGGTCAGTGTGCCATTTGAATTTGTTTTGATGGATAGGTGGGGATTGTGTAATTTGTGCAATTTAGGTACTGTTCCAAAGATCATTGTGACAGTTTTGTCAGTGTTCAGGAAGAGTTTGTTTTTTGCGATCCACTTTTCTACCTCTGTAAACTGGTCTTGGAGCAAAGCCTCAAGTTGCGGTAGATTGGGTTTGCTCGCATAGATTACCGTGTCATCTGCGTACATGTGTACATTTGAGGATTGGCAGACATAAGGCAGATCATTTATAAATAATGTAAATAGTAGGGGGCCGAGAATGGAACCCTGGGGAACACCACACGTGACCGGGAGAGGGAGGGAGTCACTGTCAGAAATGGACACATATTGCGAGCGATCCGATACATACGATCGAAACCAGTTTAAAGAATGATCACCAATACCTGAGTTTTCGAGTTTGTGCAGTAGAATGTCGTGGTCTACTGTGTCAAAGGCCTTAGCAAAATCAAGGAAAATAGCTCCAGTTAGGGCTCCTTGTTCCATGCCAGTTTGGATGTCATTGCAAACTTTTAGGAGGGCAGTTGTAGTGGAGTGATTCTGGCGAAAGCCCGATTGATCAGGGGTCAGATAGTTTAATTGTTGGTAGTACTCACAAAGTTGCGTATGGACACATTTTTCTAAGATTTTTGACAATACCGGGAGCAATGATATTGGGCGATAGTTAGAAACCAAAGTAGTGTCACCACTTTTATGGATAGGCACTACTCTCGCAGTCTTCCAAAGTTTGGGTATGTATCCAGACACCAAGGATTCGTTAATTAGAGTTGAGACGGGTTTAGCAATTGCCGGCGCACTGAGCTTCAACAGCATTGCTGGGATTTGATCAGGTCCGGACTGGTTTTTCATTTTTAGATTATTAAGATGTTTTTTAATGACACTAACAGGTACAGGTCTAAAATTAAACTTATCTATATTGGGCCTTTGCAAATTTAGTGGGGCCTGATCCACATTTGTAGTTTCAGGATGCGTGTCATTTATTAGCTTGTCAATCAGGGCAGTAGAGCATCTGACAAAATAATTGTTAAAGGCATTTGCAACATCTAAAGGAAGTTGCAGGGTTTGGTTACCCACTTTGACAGTGGAGGGTTGGGAGTGGATTGGGGGAGTTTGTAGTTTATTTATGACTTTCCAAAAGTTTCTAGGGTTTGAGATGTTACTGTTCAGATTTTCATAGAAATATTGGGCCTTGGCCAGTTTTGTCTGTTTTGTGCATATATTTCGCCATTGTCTATATGCACCGTGATCATTCATAGAGCCAGTACGCTTAAACTTTGACCACAAAGAATCCCGAAACTGGTACATTTGGATGAGGTCAGCTGTGATCCAGTTCATATGCGCTCCTTTTACCCTCACCTTACGCAGCGGGGCATGCAAATTCCAGATTTGAAGGAGTTCAGAATGAAAGTATTCAACAGCACAGTCTAGATCTGGGATAATGTTTAATCTGTGCCATGAGAGATTCTTGATGTCATTTAAAAAGGATTCAAGATTAAATTTTTTGAAGGACCTAGTTATTTTAACCTTGGGAGAGGATTTAATAGCCTTTATTTTGCGCACGCAGTACACTAAACAGTGATCACTGCGTGTATAGGAGATATAGTGAGTGTGTGTGTGTAGAGGATTCAGAGTGTATATTGGGAGTTAGTTTGTGTATGTGTGTAGATGATGCAGAGTTGAGTAAGGTGTCATGAACGCTCCCTACTCCAAGAGTGTGTGTGACGTTGTTGTGGTGGTGAAAGGGTTAAAGTTCACTATTTGTCTGCACTAGACTGGCAATAATGACAAAGTCCACCTTAACACCACTTAAAATAGTAATAGTTATATTATTATGTTTAACGCTGCCATCACCAAGACCAAGAGGACCTACTGTCCTCCCCCCTCGGCCCCCACCCCTGAGATGGGGGCCCTAAACTTAGAATAAGGGGGGGGAACCTATTGTCCACCCCCAAACCCCAACCCCTGAGCAGTGGGTGGGGGCCCTAAATTTAGAATGGGGGGGACCTATTGTCCTCCCCCCGGACCCTCCCCTGAGCGGTGGGTGGGGACCCTAAGTTAGAATAAGGGGGGGGACCTATTGTCCTCCCCCTGGCCCCCACCCCTTGGCGGTGGGTGGGGGCACTAAATAAAAATTTAAACCCCCCGTCACTCCCCTGCCCCCAAAAAATAACCCCTACCTACCCCCTTCATCCTAAAAAAAGCTAGATACCTGTAAAAAAAATAAAAATATATAAACTTACTATTTGATGTCTTCTTTCTTCTAAAATCTTCATTTTTCAGCCCCAAGAAAGGCCAAATAAAAATCCATAATAATCGACGCACTTTAAAAAAAAAAAGAAAAGAAAAAAAAAGAGCGCAAAAAATTAAATCCATATTCACCCATGAAGGGCTCGACGCAGACTGAGCTCTGCAGGGCAGGGGAAGGCTTATAAAGCCTTGCTCCGCCCTGCAATTAGGCTCAGAGCACTCTGATTGGTGGGTTTAAGCCATCCAATCAGAGTGCTCTGACAGGTAAATAAAGAGACTGACAGGTAAGTCTCTACATTTACCTGTCACAGCACTCTGATTGGTTAGCTTTAAATCCACCTTTCTTTGGAATTTTCCCATGCTGTGTAATTTGACTCATAACACTCTGATTGGTGGATTGAAAGTAACCAGAGAGTTATGAGTCAAATTACACAGCATGGGAAAATTCCAAAGAACTTTCCCACGCTGTGCAAAATGACACAGAGCACTCTGATTGGATGGATTTCAAGCCATCCAATCAGAGTGTTATGATTTATTTTGCACAGCATGGGAAAGTTCTTTGGAATTTTCCCATGCTGTGTAAAATGACACAGAGCACTCTGATTGGCTTAAACCAACCAATCAGAGTGTTCTTATCCTAATTGTAGGGCGGGGCAAGGCTTTATAAGCATTCCCCCGCCCTGCAGAGCTCAGTCTGCGCGGAGCCCTCCATGGGTGAAGATTAGAGTTGAGCGAACCCGAACTGAAAAGTTACATTACGTTTTTTGGACAACGGACCCGAACACGGACATATCACTGTATGTTCGGGTTGGAGTTCGGAGTTCAGCGATATAATGACGCGTTTTGAAAGGCTGCAGGGCAGGCAATCAACAAGCGTTTGACTCGTGTGCCCTTAGAAGCCATCACAACCAGTCTGTGGCTGCTCACTGTTATAAAAAAAAACAAAAAAAAAAACATTCCCCCCCTCCTGAGCGATGCGCGAGTGGGGGCTTTTAAACCAAGGGCCTCACCCTTGAACGGTGGATTGGGGCCCTTAATAACAATAAGTGGGGGGACCTACTGTCCTCCCCCCGGTGCCCAACCCAGTGCGCTCAGTGGGGGCCTTAAATACAAATAAGGTTGGAGGACCTATTGTTCCTTCCCGGCCCACACCCCTGAGCGCTGGGTGGGGGCCCTAAATAACAATAAGTGGGGGGACCTACTGTCCTCCTCCCTGGCCCCCACCCACCGCTCAGTAAATAAAAAAAATGGAGGGATCCTAATGTCCTCCCCTCTGCCCCCACCCCTGAGCGGTGGGTGGGGGCCATAAATAAAAATCCCCCCCAGGTGACTAGGGGTCCCCAAACCCCTAGTCACCCCCCTCCCCCAAAAAAACCTAACCCCTACCTACCCCCGTCACCCTAAAAAATAATGAGGGGGGGCATTAACTAAGTACCTGTTAAAAAGATAAAATAAAACTTACCATTTGATGTTTTCTTTCTTCTAAAATCTTCTTTTTTCAGCCCCAAAAAAGGCCAAGTCAAAATCCATAATAACCGACTAACTTAAAAAAACAAACCAAAAACAAACGAGCGCAAAAAATAAATAAATCCATCTTCACCCATGGAGGGCTCCGCACAGACTGAGCTCTGCAGGGTGGGGGAAGGCTTATAAAGCCTTGCCCCGCCCTGCAATTAGGCTGAGAGCACAGAGTGCTCTGTGGCATTTTACACAGCGTGGGAAAGTTCTTTGGAATTTTCCCACGCTGTTTAAAATGACTCAGAGCACTCTGACTGGCTGGATTTCAAGCTAACCAATTAGAATGCTCTGTGTCATTTTACACAGCATGGGAAAGTTCTTTGAATTTTCCCACGCTGTGTAAAATTACACAGAGAATTGTGATTGGTGGATTTCAATAGTTGGATGGGGAGTTAGGGTCAAGATTGGGCTTCGTTCGGGGACCCCTAGTCACCTGGGGGGGGGTGACTAAATTTTTATTTAGGGTCTCCACCCGCCGCTCAGGGGTGGGAGCCAGGGGGGAGGACAATAGGTGTCCCCCCTTATTCTAATTTAGGGTCCCCACCCACCACTCAGGGGTGGGGGCCAGGGGGAAGGACAATAGGACCCCCTAATTCTGATTTAGGGCCCCCACCCACCGCTCAGGGGTGGGGGTCAGGGGAGAGGACAATAGTTCCCCGCCTTATTGATATTTAGGGCCCCCACCCACCTAGGGGTGGGGGCCGGGGGGGACAATACATCCCCCCGCTTATTCTAATTTAGGGCCCCCACCCACCGTTCAGGGGTGGGGGCCAATAGGTTTTTATTTATTAGTTTTTTGTTTTTTTACAGCCACTGGCTGCTCACTGTTTACTAGACATTCCCCTACTCACGGTATAGTAAGTAGGGGCTGAATTTACTAATACTAAGTAATCTTTACTTAGTATTAGTAAATGTGGCTGAAAGACCAATTTAGACTTCAATAGGGTTCGGGTTTGGGGTCACGTTCGAGCCAAACTCGAACTTTTGACGAAGTTCAGTCGAACTTGGCGAACCCGAATATCCAGGTGTCCACTCAACTCTATTACTCAGTCAAAATTAGATCTTGGCCCCAAGAAAGTACACCAACACCCCTCCAAATCTTTGGATATATACCCTGTGGATTATCAAGTCTTGCCCAGGGGTGGAGTTAAGGCGTACCTATAGAAATAATAAGTGACCACCTCCTTTGTTCCAGACCAACGTCAATCCAAATGGAAACATTTGGCTCTATCTTCTCTTATGTACCTTGTTTTTTTGTATTTGTATTCACTTTTTGTATCACACAGCTATGTTACAATGCTGCCACCCATCCCATGTGTTCCTATTAAAGGTTAATAAGCATACAGGGGGTATATAAAAAAAATACCCCTCTCTGTCTCAGAGATATCTTTGCCAGAAGCTGAAGGAAGCAAGGTGAAAGGTCAGTGTAGGAACCCACCTGTGGGGGTCTGCCATGACTTTGGCAGGCGGGCATTCCCTCCAATGGTTATTGGAGTAACTAAATGACCTCCATTTGTTTAAATATACATAGGGATTTAGGAGAGAGCGCAGGTAACTTTGTCTTTGGTTTTTACTGTATGTATTGGGGCTGATGTGTACTGTGGTCTTTGCTGCCGCCCAGGAGTGATGGGAGTGAGCGCAGGACTTGTTTTTTTGTATTTGTATTCTCTTATGTACCTGCCACAGAAATAATAAATGCATCTATGAATTTGTTATTTTCCCATTCCATTGACATGTCACACGCCCCACCCGGGATCCAATAGGACAGACATCACATAACTTTCCCAATGGTCAAGTTAGGCCACTCATGTTTGGGCTTGTTTAGAAGATGGCGCTTTTCACATTCCCAATATAACAAAAATTAGGCTTATTATTATTATTATTGTTATTATTATTATGATATTCATAGAGCGCCATCAAATTCTGCAGCGCTTTACAATGGGTGGACCAACAGACATGTAGTTGTAATTAGACAAGTTGGACACACAGGAACAGAGGGGTTGAGGGCCCTGCTCAATGTGCTTACATGCTAGAGGGAGTGGGGTAAAATGACACAAAAAGGTAAGGATAGTATTAGACTAGTGACAGTTGCAGAAGAGGAATCAGTGAGGAGCTATTAACAGTTTAATTGATACACTTTTATGAAGAAGTGGGTTTTTTACGATTTTTTGAAGGAGTGCAGACTGGGTGAGCATCTAACGGAGGAGGGGAGCGAGTTCCACAGGAACGGTGCAGCCCTCGAGAAATCTTGAAGGCGAACATCAGAGGTGGGAGTACGGACAGAAGATAGACGTAAGTCTTCAGCAGATCGTAAGGGCCTACACGGGACATACTTGTGTATAAGGGAGGATAGATAGGTGGGAGCAGCATTATGTAGAGATTTGAAAGCAAGAACTAGAATTTTAAATTGAGCTCTATATTTTATAGGAAGCCAATGTAGGGACTGACAGAAGGGTGAGGCATGGGAGGTGCGGGCGGACAGGAAGATGAGCCTCGCCGCCGCATTCATTATGGACTATAACGGCGCAAGTTGGGAGCACGTAAGACCACTGAAAAGTGGATTACAGTAGTCAAGGCGAGAAAGGACAGTGGAATGGACCAACACCTTATTCGCATCTGGCGTTAAGTAGGGGCGGATGCACGCAATGTTTTTGAGATGGAAATGACAGGATTTGGCGATAGATTGAACATGAGGCTTGAAGGAGAGGTCGGAGTCAGAGAGAACACCTAGATGGAGTACAGTAGGGGACCAAGGACTGAACCGTGGGGGACACTAAGAGAGGAGTTGCGGAGAAGAAGTAGAGCCAGAGAAAGAAACACTGAAAGAGCGCTGGGAGAGGTAGGAGGTACCAGGAGAGAGCAATATCTTGTAGACCGATATTGCGGAGGAAGAGAAGAAGCTGTTGATGATCAACAGTGTCAAAAGTCGCAGACAGGTCAAGGAGAATTAGGATAGAGTAGTGACCACGAGATTTTGCAGCGAGTAGTTCATTGGATACTTTGGTCAGTGCCGTTTCCACAGAGTGCTTAGCACGGAAACCAGACTGAAGCGAGTCTAGAAGAGTTTTTGACTCGAGGAAGTCTGTCAAACTCGTATACATAATTTTTTCAAGGATCTTGGATGCAAAAGGCAGTAGCGAGATAGGACGATAGTTGGATGGGGAGTTAGGGTCAAGATTTGGCTTCTTTTGAATTGGGGTTACAGTTGCATGTTTGAAGGGCAATGGAAATATACCAGAGGAGAGAGAGAGATTGAGAATTTTAGTGAGAGGTGGAGAAAGAGAAGAAGACAGAGTACGGATGAGATGTGAGGGAATTAGATCTAGGAAGCAGGTGGTTGGGCGGGAGGACTGGAGCAGAGCAGAAACCTCTTCCAATGTAGCGGGTGCGAATGAACATAGAACAGCAGAGGGAGTGAATTAGGGGAAGTATGTAAGGTGAAGAAGAAAGACGAGAGATCTCTTCTTTGATTGTAGAGATCTTGTCAGTGAAGTGAGTTGCAAAGTCTGAGTCGGACAAGTTAGTAGGTGGAGGAGGAACAGCAGGGCGAAGAAGAGAGTTAAATGTGTGAAATAGTCGTTTGGGTTCGCGGGAGAGTGTGGTTATGAGGGTATTGAAGTAATTAACTTTTGCAGAGGAAAGAGCCAAGCTGTATGAGCTCAGCATAAATTTATAGTGGAGAAAGTCAGATGCACAGTGAGACTTTCTCCAACAGCGTTCAGCAGTTCTGGAGCATTTTTGGAGGTATCGAGTGAGCTTGGTGTGCCCGGGTTATTGTTGGGGGGGCCTGCGGCGTTTAAATGTACAAGGTGCCATGATGTCTAGTTGAGAGGAGAGGGTGGAATTGTAGAAGGAGGTTGCAGAGCTTGGACAGGTGAGGTTTGAGATAGGTAAAAGGAGAGTTTGGAGATAAGTGAAGAAATGCTCTAGGTCAAGACATTGGAGGTTTCTGTGAGAGTGATGTTCAGACGGTGGTGTCAATTGGGTCTTAGGTATGCCAATGTCAAAAATCAGCAGATGGTGGTCAGATAGAGGAAAAGGAATACTGGAGAGATTAGATTAGTTGGTGAAGGCAAGATCAAGAGTGATTCCTGCTGTATGGGTTGCTAAATTGGACCATTACATAAGGCCAAAGGAGGAGGTTACAGAGAGCAGACGAGAGGCATCAGTGCAATTGGGGTTATTGATTTGGATATTGAAATCCCCAAGTATAAGGGAACTAATGCTAGATGAGAGGAAGTGGGGAAGCCAGGAAGAAAAGTGCTCAATGAATAGTCTAGGATAACCAGGGGGTGGTAGATGATAGAAATTCTTAAAGAAGTGGGTTTAAATAGGCAGACAGTGTGAACTTCAAAAGAAGAAAAGGATAGGGCAGGGGGAGTTATGATTTTTTGAAAGGTACATTGAGGGGAGAGAAGGATGCCTACGCCACCTCCTTTACAGTTAAGTCTGGGAGTGTGAGAGAATTGTAGCCCACCAAAACATAAAGAGGCAGGAGTGGCGCTATCAGAGGGGGACAGCCAGGTCTCTGTAAGTGCAAGCAGTGTGAGTGGGTTTGAGATGAAAAAGTTGTGTATGGTTGTTGATTTTAAATTACTGCAGATGGAGTGGGCATTCCAGAATGCACAAGTAATTTTGGATTAATTATTATTCTGTGGGGTAAATATGAATGTTTCTCTTGGATTTGATACTGGAACACAAAGGTCTTCATGAAACTAATACCATTACCATAACAAAGGATTGAACTATCAATTGAGAGTTTCAGGCCATATGGTCAAAGTCAGTTAGTTTGCATTGAAACTAGACATAGAGGCAGCTCAAGTGTAAAATGTTCACCTTGCAGGGCCTTTGATAGAAGGGCAATCCTTTTCACACATTGCAGAAGCCCCTTTTGATCAAAAGAGCAATTTCTCTCTGCCAGTTGTCCTCTACCCAGGGATCAAATTATTGATGCACTACAGAAGTTACATTAAATAGCAATATTTCATAGTGTAATAATAAATTATGCCCCCTTGCTGTGACATAAGGAGAATGTGTGTCTGGAATGTAATGTGTTTAAGGGTGCAGTATGTGTGTGAGAGTGCAATGAGAGTGTGAGGGGTTCTTTAGTATATATACATATATGTTTGGAAGCATTGTGTGAGTGGTGCAGCGTGTTGAAGATTTTCACCTGGAGGCAGTGGCATACATACCGCGGTCACAGGGGTCGCAGCTGCGACCGGGTGCCCGTCGCCATGTGTTGCAGCATGGATCAGTTTTGCACCGGGGCCCCATGGACTGTGTGTACGCCACTGCCTGGAGGATTCATACTTCGTTTTCCTACACTCCTATATAGGATTGAGCATAACTTTACTCTGCTCTCCGTTTGTGGGTATACCTCCTTTTATTATTTTATTATTATTTTGGACGGAGAGCACTATCTCCTGTTTTTATTTTCATTTTTTACGCTGGTGAACTCTCACTGTGACAAAACTGCGTATTGAGAGAAAACTTCTATGAACACTGACCACCACACACTGCTGACTGACCTACGGATACATTGCCACATAGGATTAAGACTGAGACCAAGATCACCATATAAACAGACATGGATTATACCATTAAATTGCCTATATCTGGATCTGATTTTAACCTCCAGAAGATTGTAAGTGCATTTCCTTTCTTTTATTTATAATTACTAGCATCAAAAATACTACACCATATTCTGTTTTATTTGTCCTTTTGTTTTGCATATCGCTTTACCTTTATTTGAGTTGAGGACACTTATGAAAGCGCTGCTTCCCTGCTTTCCCTTTCTATATCTACCTACGGCCCGAAGGAAGAGACTCTAATTTGGGAAGCCTGAGCTGTCATGTAGACTTTTAACAAGTGCTAGAAATTCCAGCTTTTTATTTATTAAATGAAAAGGGCTTGGCACAAATATAAATGACAAACTAGGAAAGAGTATGCAATTCTGGTCTGCCATTGCAAAATGCTAGTAAGGTTTTGTCATATACAGTTGCAAGAACAAGTATGTGAACCCTTTGGAATGATATGGATTTGGTCAAATTGGTCATAAATGTGATCTGATCATCCTCTAAGTCACAACAATAGACAATCACAGTCTGCTTAAACTAATAATACACAAAGAATGAAATGCTGCCATGTTTTTATTGAACACACCATGTAAACATTCACAGTGCAGGTGGAAAAAAGTATGTGAACCCCTAGACTAATGACATCTCCAAGAGCTAATTGGAGTGAGATGTCAGCCAACTGGAGTCTAATCAATGAGATGAGATTGGAGGTGTTGGTTACAGCTGCCCTGCCCTATAAAAAACACACACTAGTTCTGGGTTTGCTTTTCACAGGAGGCATTGCCTGATGTGAATGATGCCTTGCACAAAAGAGCTCTCAGAAGACCTACGATTGAGAATTGTTGACTTGCATTAAGCTGGAAAGGGTTATAAAAGTATCTCCAAAAGCTTTGCTATTCATCAGTCCACGGTAAGACAAATTGTCTATAAATGGAGAAAGTTCAGCACTGCTGCTACTCTCCCTAGGAGTGGCCGTCCTGTAAAGATGACTGCAAGAGCACAGCCCAGACTGCTCAATGAGGTGAAGAAGAATCCTAGAGTGTCAGCTAAAGACTTACAAAAGTCACTGGCAAATGCCAACATCCCTGTTAGCGAATCTACAATATGTAAAACACTAAACAAGAATGGATTTCATGGGAGGATACCTCAGAGGAAGCCACTGCTGTCCAAACAAAACATTGCTGCACGTTTACAGTTTGCACAAAAGCACCTGGATGTTCCACAGCAGTACTTGCAAAATATTCTGTGGACAGATGAAACCAAAGTTGAGTTGTTTGGAAGAAACACACAACACCATGTGTGGCGAAAAAAAGTATGGTGGTGGGGGCATCATGGTTTGGGGCTGCTTTGCTGCATCAGGGCCTGGACGGATTGCTATCATCGAAGGAAAAATGAATTCCCAAGTTTATCAAGACATTTTGCAGGTGAACTTAAGGCCATCTGTCTACCAGCTGAAGCTCAACAGAAGATGTGTGTTGCAACAGGACAATGACCCAAAGCATAGAATAAATCAACAACAGAATGGCTTAAACAGAAGAAAATACGCCTTCTGAAGTGGCCCAGTCAGAGTCCTGACCTCAACCCGATTGAGATGCTGTGGCATGACCTCAAGAAAGTGATTCACACCAGCCATCCCAAGAATATTGCTGAACTGAAACAGTATTGTAAAGAGGAATGGTCAAGAATTACTCCTGACCGTTGTGCACGTCTGATCTGCAACTATAGGAAACGTTTGGTTGAAGTTATTGCTACCAAAGGAGTTTCAACCAGTTATTAAATCCAAGGGTTCACATACTTTTTTCACCTGCACTGTGAATGTTTACATGGCGTGTTCAATAAAAACATGGCAACATTTCATTCTTTGTGTGTTATTAGTTTAAGCAGACTGTGATTGTCTATTGTTGTGACTTAGAAGATGATCAGATCACATTTTATGACCAATTTGTGCAGAAATCCATATCATTCCAAAGGGTTCACGTACTTTTTCTTGCAAATGTATAAACATGGATATTGATTCATGTGATCAAAATATAATTTTGCCTTATTATAAATCAACAGTAAGACCCAACCTTGAATATGCAATTTTGGGCACCAGAAAAAAAGAAAGATATTGTAAAACTAGAAAAAGTGCAGAGGCAAGCTACAAAATAAATAAGGGGATGGAAAACATTAGTTATGTACAAAGGCTAGAAAAACTATATTTGTTTTCTTTAGAACATAGTCGCCTCAGAGGGGATATGACAGCTCTATACAAATATATACAGGGTCAGTACAAACCGCTCTGTGATTGTTCACTTGCAGAAATATACTACAGGCAAGAAGTCGACCATTGAAATTGGAAGAAGTATATGAAAAAAGAGGTGGAATTTTCTGGCTAAAGCTGTTGTCTAATCAGATTCTATAGACATTCTAAAAAAAGGTCTGGATACATTTGTACATAAACTACCATATATACTCAAGTATAAGTCTAGTTTTTCAGCACATTATTTGTGCTGAAAAACCCCCACTCGACTTGAGTCAGTGTCTGTATTATGGCAACTTACATTGCCATAATACAGACCAGGACCGCCGGGCTCATTACAAGCCCGGCGGTCCTGTTGGGGGCTGGCAGATAGCTGTTACTTACCTTCCTGCAGCTCCTGTCAGCTCCCTTCTGCTCCACTGTAAGTATCGCGGTGTGACTGCCGCGCGGAGCATTGCCACGGTAACCCGTGGCAACGCTCTGACCCCGCGGCTCTCGCGAGACTTACAGTGGAGCTTACCGGACCAGAGGAGAAGGGAGCTGACAGGAGCTGCAGGAAAGGTAAGTAACAGCTCTCTGCCGGCCCCCCTCCTACACAGCCCATCCACTGGACCACCAGGGAATGAGAACCCCCCTCCCTGACCAGCTAACAAGCAGGGAGGGGGTGCGAAAATAAAAATTAAATAATAAAAAAAATAATATTACAATAAAAAAATTAAAATATTAAAATGAAAAAAAATTTAAATAATAAAAATGCCCTCCCCCCACCCAGTTCACACACAAACACACACTCATACAAACACACCCTCTGCATTGTATACACACACACTGCATTATATACATACACACTCATACAAACACACACTCTGCATTATACACACACTCTGCATTATATACACACACACTCTGCATTCACACAAACACACACACTCTGCATTATATAATGCAGAGTGTGTGTTTGTATGAGTGTGTCCATATATAATGCAGAGTGTGTGTTTGTATGAGTGTGTGTGTGTATAATGCAGATTGTTTGTATGAGTGTGTGTATAATGCATAGTGTGTGTTTGTATGTGTGTGTGTATATAATGCAGTGTGTTTTTGTATGAGTGTGTGTGTATAATGCAGATTGTTTGTATGAGTGTGCGTGTGTATAATGCAGAGTGTGTGTATGAGTGTGTGTGTGTGTATAATGCAGAGTGTATGAGTGTGTATATAATGCAGTGTGTATGAGTGTGTGTGTGTGTAATGCAGAGTGTGTGTATGAGTGTGTGTGTATAATGCAGAGTGTGTGTATGTGTATAATGCAGAGTGTGTTTGTATGAGTGTGTGTGTATGTAATGCAGTGTGTGTGTTTGTATGAGTGTGTGTGTGTATATAATTATAAAAATCACAGAATTTCATAGCCCCAAGTTTTACCCTTGACTTATCCACGAGGCATAGCATATTTCACAATTGTTGGTCACAAAACTGCACTCGACTTATAAATGAGATCGACTTATACACGAGTATATACGGTAAATATTCAAGGATATTTTTATTTGCATCAACTTAGTACTTGGTGGCAAAACCCTTGTTGGCAATCACAGAGGTTTCTTGTAGTTAGCCACCAGGTTTGCACACATCTCAGTACGGATTTTGTCCCACTCCTTCGTGTAGATCCTTTCTAAGTCAGTAAGGTTTCTAGTCTGACGTTTGGCAACTCGAACCTTCAACTGATATTTATGTGAACAGGTTGTTTATACAAGGAGAAATCTGATTGCCATTATGGAGTCAAGAAGGATATTTTTTCCATGGAAATGGCAACTAAATGTTAAACTTTATGGATTTTAGTCTTTATCCAACTTAGATTACTATGTAACTATTTACTTACAGTTTACAGTCAGTGTGTAGATGTCACTTGTGATCTTATTGATAGCATTCTCAGCCTCACAATAATAATCGCCTGAGTCTGAGGGTTTGATACTGGAGAAGAAAATCTTCCTGTTATCACTGGATAGGGTGTCGTCAGAAGAGAGTGTGCCATTACTGCGGCCCCACAGGATCCTTACAGCATTTTCCGCCTCACATGTGAGGGTGACCGTGTCATTTTCCTGGACCAGGTAGCTGCTTGTCTTGATTACAGGTTTACTGACATGCTCTGTGGGTACAAGAACAAGGAAAATTCCCAGGTTATAGGCACCAGTTTCATTCAGTTGACTTTGACCAAGTTCATTTTTTTGCATATATTACGACCTAAAGCCAGTCAGTTGTATCAGTGATTAACAGACAAGTTTTTGGTTTGTTAATGGGAAACTTTTTTGTGAGTTAATGAAATAATATTCTGCAACATATATATATTGCGAACCAATATCTAAGGTATATTTTAATCTAACTGCTTGTCTGTCTGTCAGTCCGTCCATCTGTCCAATTTATGTCTGCTACCTGTCTTTCAATGTATCTCTTTTGCACTGGATTTCAAAGCAATAGAAACTGTCAGATTTTTCAGCATGCGGTCTCTCTCTCAAATTCTCTCAAAGTGTGTTCAAAGTTAATTTGAAATTTAGGCCATGTGAAATTAAAACCTTCAATTTCTACCTTAATGTATAAAATGCACGTTGAACAATTTTGCGTCTCTGAAAATGCACACTTCAGTGACTTACACGGTTGGTGAAAAAAATGCATTTCAGAAATATACAGTATTTGGATATTTGTGTTGCATGTATAAGTCAAGTACCTTCACAACAAAATATGTTTTAGGATAGGTAAATATAGAAAAATATGAGAGAAATATGGGTAGTTTTCTAAACCCCTACCTACTTATTAACCCTTAATGTTCCCTATTAAAGGTTAATAAGTAGGTATGGGTTTAGAAAAATACTCCACTCTGTCTCATTAGAGGTATCTTTGCCTGAAGCTCAAGAAAGCAAGGTGAATAGTCTGTGTAGGGCCCACTTAAGAAGTTTTGTGGGCATCCCTCTAATGGCCATTGGAGTTATTAAATTACCTCAATTTGTTTAAATATGCATAGGGATTTCGGAAAAACGCAGGTGACTTTTTTCCTTTTTTTTTTTTCTGTACGTATTGGGGCTGATGTGTACTATGGTCATTGCAGTCGCCCAATAGTAGGGGGAGTTTAAGCGCAGGACTTGTTTTTTTGTATTTGTACAGAAGAATATGAGTTAAAAAGAAATCACACATTACTCACTGTATACAGTCAGGGTCACTGATTCTTGCTGTGCGTCTGTATATGTCTGTACAGACACTATGTAAATCCCCCGGTCTGTAATCACCAGATCTGAGATCAGTAATGAGGCATTAGGGAGTCCGCTGGCCCGAGATAAATACTGTGTTCCATTAGTCTGTGGGGGGTTTGCCCTCGGGATATATGAGAGGATTTGATTATCAGCGTTTGTGTTCGGTCCTTTATACCAGGTGAATTGCCGGACAGTTCCATTGATCCCAGTAACACTGAGAGTGACTGACTGACCCACCGCAGGATACTGAGGGATTGGCTGGATACTAATTGCACTGATTGGCTGCATCCACACACTGAGCAAAACTGAAAAAGATAAAACAGCAGATTAATGGCAACAAATGGCCAGCCTATTCCACAAAATGCAAAATGATTCCTCTTAAAATAAATAAATATATATATAGTGAGGAAAAAAAGTATTTGATCCCCTGCTGATTTATTTTCACAGTGAGAGACAGAATTAAAAAAAAAAAAAATCAAGAAAAACACATGTCAAAAAAGTTATGAATTGATTTGCATGTCAATGAGTGAAATAAGTATTTGATCGCATCAACTTAGTACTTGGTGGCAAAACCCTTGTTGGCAATCACAGAGGTTTCTTGTAGTTAGCCACCAGGTTTGCACACATCTCAGTACGGATTTTGTCCCACTCCTTCGTGTAGATCCTTTCTAAGTCAGTAAGGTTTCTAGTCTGACGTTTGGCAACTCGAACCTTCAACTCCTTCCACAGATTTTCTATGGGATTAAGGTCTGGGGACTGGCTAGGCCACTTCAGGACCTTCTTGAGCCACTCCTTTGTTGCCTTGGCTGTTTGTTTTGGGCCATTGTCATGCTGGAATACCCATCCCTGACCTATTTTCAATGCCCTGGCTGAGGGAAGGAGGTTCTCACCCAAGATTTGAAGATACATGGCCCCGTCAATTGTCCCTTTAATGCGGTGCAGTTGTCCTGTCCCCTTAGCAGAAAAACACCTCCAGTATGTCTGTCAGTATGCCTGTGTGTATCAGTATGTGTGTGTGTGTGTGTGTGTTTCAGTATTTCTGTCAGTGTATGTGTCTGTGTGTGTGTCAGTATATCTGTCAGTGTATGTGTCTGTGTGTGTGTGTGTGTGTATGTATGTCTGTGTGTATGTCAGTATGCTTGTGTGTGTGTATGTCTGTGTGTATTTATGTTAGTATGCCTGTGTGTGTGTTTCAGTATTTATGTCAGTGTATGTGTCTGTGTGTGTGTCAGTACTGTATATCTGTCAGTGTATGTCTGTGTGTGTTAGTGTATCTGTCTGTGTGTTTGTATGTGTGTTTCAGTATGTCTGAATGTGTGTCAGTATGTCTGCCAGTATATATGTGTTTGTCAGCATGTATCTGCAAATGTTTTAATATGTCTGCCTGTGTGTGTCAGTATGTCTGTCAGTGTGATTGGGGGTTGGGCGTAATTGGGGGGGTGAGAGGGGCAGGGCCCAGGGGGCTCAAGAAAATGTTTCGCCCAGGGTCCTATGCATATTATAGACAGCCCTGATGGTGTGGATGGTGTTCTTGGGGTCAAAGGGAGCATTCCTCCTCCTCCAAACACTGTGAGTTGAGTTCTTACCAAAGACCTCGATTTTGGTCTCATCTGATTACAACACTTTCATCCAGTTCTCCTGTGAATCATTCAGATGTTCATTGGAAAACTTCAGACAGGCCTGTACGTGTGCTTTCTTGAGCGGGGAAACCTTGCAGGTGCTGGAGGATTTCAGTTCTTCATGGTGTAGTGTGTTACCAATTGTTTTCTTATTGACTATGGTCCCAGCTGCTTTGAGATCATTAACAAGATCCTCCAGTGTAGTTCTGGGCTGTTTCTTCACCGTCATGATCATTGAAACTCCACAAGGTGAGATCTTGTGTTCAAGTATCATATCCAAAAGAAACATTAATACGTCCCCACAACATAATAACTAAGCCTTATTTGTATTATATTTAGAATGGTACAAATACCATCTTCTAAACAAGCCCAAACATGATCGGTTTAACTTAAACATATGGGAAGGGATCGGGATGTCCACTATATTGGGTCACAAGTAAGACGTGTGACATGACATATCTATGGAATGGAGAAATTGTAACAAATTCCTAGATGCAATTAATATTTCTGTGGCAAGTACATACGAGGACATAGAACCAAATGCTTCCATTTGGATTGATGTAGGTCTTGAACACAAGAAGGTGATTACTTATTGTCTCTATAGATAGGCCTTAACTCCACCTCTAGGTAGGCCTGGTAATCTATATATAGATGACCAGGCCTAGCCTAGAGGTGGATTAGAATTAGATTCTGGCCCTTCAAGCAAGCAAATACACCCCTCAGTAGCATTGGATATATATATATAAATATACACTTCACTTATAGGTCAGGCCTGGTAATCCATTTATATATATATATATATATATATATATATATCACTTATTGTCTCTATAGATAGGCCTTAACTCCACCTCTAGGCTAGGCCTGGTAATCTATATACATATGTAAATAGATTACCAGGCCTAGCCTAGAGGTGGAGTTAAGGCCTATCTATATTGACAATAAGTGATATATATATATATATATATATATATATATATGGATTACCAGGCCTGACCTATAAGTGGAGTGTATATTTATATATATATCCAATGCTACTGAGGGGTGTATTTGCTTGCTTGAAGGGCCAGAATCTAATTCTAAGTGAGTCACCATCTTTCTTACCAGAAACCTCCTGGGGCAGAAGTTATAATTTGAAAACCTGAGTAAGTGATTAGGACTTCTGTCATTTCATCCCATTTTGTTTTTATCTGTTGTTGGTGTAAATAACTTGATTGTCATCTATATTTTTGTATGCACTGTGACTATTGTTTGCTCATAATAAATATTCCTTTATTAAGTTCTGCCTTTGTCTGGTAAAGAATCCCACTACCTGAAGAGACTAATTAGGATTTTGCAATTACATAGATATTGTGCTAAGTTACGTTTGGTGGTTTTTTATTAGTAAGTTACAACACTTATGTTCTCTGGGGAGGAGCTATGATGTAAGACGCAAATGTCAGCGCTCTGGAATGAGGTAGCTGCACACCTAAAAAGTATGCTGAGTGAAGCGTGGTGCTGAGAAGTAAATGGCCGAGAGGAGAAGAGACAAACCAGAGAATTGCAGAAAACTCGAAAGCCTGTGAGTCTGTAGTCCTGCTGGGAGCAAGAGCACCATGGTGTATCACAGGAAGAAGAACTACCTGTTCTGAGAATACCCTAATGCGGTTATCTTGACTCCTCTGTCATCTAAACAACAGAGAGATCACAGACTTCAATCGCTATTATGGAGTAAAAGGGAGCAGAACCCACAAGCAGACAGCAGAAACGAGAGGAGGGCTACCCAATTAAATCTACCTTCTAACAGCTGAAAAGAAAGTATAGACAATTTACGATAAAAGTCCATGAATTTTGCCTCCTGAAATCTGCTATAAATCTTTGTCTACTTTTTTGTCTTTCTCATATAGTATATAATTTCAGTATATACATACAATATAGAGGGTGGATCACACTTGAATAATGTAAGCCTGGAGCCAAATCTCATATGGCTCCCATGGATATCGCCTTGGGACTATTTAAGAGGATGTCCCCTTCCTTCTTCCACATAGGCTATTAGCTGATCCAATTAAAATGAGATCCAGGGTCCAATGTGTATCTTGAAAAATACTATTTATTATATAAAAACAGTAATAAAACTTCATTAAAAGGAAAAGAAATAATAAAATAAATAGCTATATTGCTGAGTAAATAAGTCCTGCCAATTGGCTGTAATAGTCCAAAAAGTGACCGAAACGCGTTTCGCCCCTCCGGGGGCTTTCTCAATCGGTATAATTTCTTCCAGTTTGGCGTGCTTTTATCCCCCAGTCCGTGTATGACTTCCGGGTTCCGGCCGATGTCTATTTGGAACGCATCGTGCGTTCCAAATGTGGCCGTTTTTCCATTTCCGGGTGCGCCGTTCTACTTCCGGGTTCCGGCGGCGATGCATCTGGAACGCATCATGCGTTCCAGACCTCTTCTTCATTCTGTTCTGTATCTCTGAACCTAAACTCGTATTAGTGGAATTCGCAGTGTATTCACTGTGAATTCCAAAATGCAATATTTAAACAGTGAATCATCTTACTGTATACATTCTTAAGAAATATTGGATACTAATCTTAAATGTGATATTCCATAGAAGATAGTATAAATAAAGAAAATATAGTATCTAGTTAATGTAATTCAATGTTAATAACATGCAACACTAATGACCATGCTGTGATACTCATGCTCTCACGTGAGGTGGTGATTTCTGTAATTTAGAAATAATTCATTTTTCAATTGGTGTTTAAATGGTCTTACCCTTCTATATTGAGAGATCTTTAAACTGAAAAACTCTTTTTTTTTTTTCCTTTTTAATATATATTCAATATTGATTTCCATCTTGTCAATTTTTAAAATCACCATACTGACGTTCAAAGTGACAGTTCTCCAAACTTATGTTGTGCAGCAGAAAATCTCTATGTGATCTTCAAATTAGAAATAAATGAAAAACTAAAAACTATGCTGTTGCCCTAAAAAAAGGAAGATATTCTATATTAACGATCTTTAAAAGAAGTGACACATCTCAAAGTCTGCGTTTAACCCATGTGGTATAAGGGTATTGAAATTATATATAAATCTCATTTCTTCTATTCCGATTTTTTTATTAAAATCACCTCCCCTCCAGTCTTTTTTTACCAGTTTTAAAGGACAGAAAAAAAGACTTTCAGGATCCTGATTATGATGAGTTTTAAAATGGTTGGATACACTATGTGTTTCTAGTCCTTTCTTAATATTGCGTATGTGTTCTGAAATTCTCACATGTACACATCTTATAGTTCTTCCTATGTAAAGTAAATCACAGGGGCATTTTAACATGTAAATTACTCCTTTCGAAAAACACGTCAATTGGTCCCTAATAGTAAAATCTTTATTCGTATATTCATTAATGTTGGTTATGCATCTTTTTTTACTTTTAGTGGTTCTACAGGCTAAACAGGTCCCACACCCATAAAAACCTTTATTTTGATTTAAAAAATGAACATTAGATTTAGGTCCTTCACTACTTTGTACTAAAGTTCTTTTAAGATTAGCTGCTCCTCTATATATTATATGGGGTTGATTTGGTAAAATGCCTTTTAAAACCGTGTCTTCTTGTAAAATATGCCAGTATTTCTTTATAACTTTATTAATTTTTTTATGGTTACCATTAAAATTGCATACGAAGGGAATTGTTTTTGAGTATTTTTGTTGATCAGTTTTTGGTTTATACATTAATAATTCTGTTCTTGGAATTTGTTTTACCTCCTCCATAACTTTCTCTAATTCTTTTTCCTCATATCCTTTCTCTTCAAACTGTTTTTTTATTTTTCCTGCCTGTATTCTGTAGTCATCATCATTTGTACAGTTGCGCCTGATTCTTAGGAATTGTCCTTTTGGCGCATTCTTCAGCCACGGTTTGTGATGGCAACTTGATTTCTCGATATACCCGTTTGCGTCCACTTCCTTAAAATAGTTCTTTGTTAAAATTTGTCCATTCTGTATAAAAATTGACAAATCTAAAAATTGAATTTCTGTGGGGCTTTGCACTGTTGTCAAAATGATTCCCCAATCATTCTCATTCAAAAAAAATTTAAAATTTTCCAATAGGTCCATGGACCCCTCCCAGATTAAAAAAATGTCATCGATATATCGTCGGTAGGACACCAAATTCGACACCCAAGGATGTGAGGAAAAGATGAAGTGTTCCTCCCAATACGCCATAAACAAATTTGCGTAGCTGGGTGCGAATTTGGTGCCCATTGCTGTACCTCTGATTTGTAGATAAAAGGAATCGTGGTGCCAGAAATAATTATTATGCAGAATAAGTTGGATTCCCTCTAAAATGAAATTGATTTGTTCTGTTTTAAAATTAGCTTTCATGAGTAAATATTCCACTGCCTTTATCCCCATGTCATGTGGAATAATGGTATAAAGGGATGTAACATCACTTGTTACTAAGTGGTAGCTTTCCTTCCATTGCATCAAATCTAAAACTTGCAGAATATGAATTGTATCTTTAAGATGTGCTCTTGTTTTGCAAACTATCGGTTGTAACAGTATATCTATATACTCAGAAATTCTCGAGGATATAGAATCGATGCCCGAAATAATCGGGCGTCCTGGAGGGTTGAGAGGATTTTTATGTATTTTAGGTAAGTAATAGAAAACTGGTGTTTTTGGGTGCGTTACCTGTAGATATTTCCCTTCTTTTTCTGTAAGGATTTTTAATTCTAATCCTTTTTGAATAAAATCTCCGAAAAGTTTCTTAACCTTTTCAATGGGGTTTGAATTAAGCTTCTGATAAGTTGTATTGTCCGATAAAATTCTCTCAGATTCTGTCATATAACTAGTTTTAGATAGTATTACTATCCCTCCCCCCTTGTCAGCCGGTTTAATGACTAAGTCTTTATTATTTTGTAAATTCTTTAAAATATTTTTTCTTTTATGGACATGTTATGTTGAAATCTATTTAATTTTTTAATTTTATTTATTTCACCCATCACCATCGTTTCAAAAGTTTTCATCTTATCTGAGATCATATGTCTAGGAAAAAAATGTGATTTATCTTTTAGTTGTGTATGTACAAATTCTGTGCTATATTGTTTTTCCTGTTGTTCCTCTAGTTGCTTTTCATCAAAAAATTTCTTAAGACATAGGTTCCTCATAAATTTATTCATGTCTATATAGAAGTTGAATTTATCAATTTCTACCGTAGGGGCAAACTTTAAGCCTTTTTGTAGCACATATATTTCATCTTTAGTTAGTGAAGAGTTTGTAAGGTTAAATATTCCCTTGGACGTTATAACCTCCCCCTCTTCTCTTTGTTGCCTTTTACTCCTTCTTCCATTTCTTGTTCTCTGGACCTCTGGCGTTTGCCTGGAGATTCCCACGATGTGGGTTTCTCTTGCCATTTTAACTTCTCTATTGTTGGTTCCTTCCGAAAAAACGGTGAGTTGTTCTGATGTCTCCTTGGATGAGTCCGTTCTGGAGTAGGTAATCTCGTATCTTTTTGTATATCTTGAGGCCTATTGATTGTCCTAATTTTTTCTTTATATCTATTTTGAAGATTTCTCTCACTTATGGGTCTAGGTCCGGCGTCTCTACTTCTACTTATGTCTCTTCTTCTCGACTCTACTGAAGGATATCTCTTTCTCATGTCTCCATGAGTCTTTCTTCCTTTTTGGGGAGATTCATCGTCTGTTTGTCTTCGTCCTTCTTTCACGACATCTCTGTAACTCCTATTCCAATGTTGGCGTGCAGAGCTGAATGTCTGTGGTGTTGTGGGATATTTGAAATCATTTCTATTGTATTCTTCTCTGTAATATCTATGATTACCTCGTCCATATGTAATATTTTGACCTTTTTCTTTCTTTAAATCTCATTCAAATGTTCTACTTGGCAATTTTTCTTTATTAAGCTGTTGATTACAATGGCTATGTGTTTGTTGTATATAG